TTAGTCAGGGGCAGGGGAGATTCAGGTTGGATGTTAGGAAGTATTTCTTCTCTGAAAGGGTTGTCAGCCACTGGAATAGGCTGCCCAGGGAGGTGGTTGAGTCCCCATCCCTGGACGTGTTTAAGAATAGGGTGGATGATCTACTTGAGGATATGGTTTAATGGGGATTAGGGATGGTTGGACTCGATGATCTCTAAGGTCTTTTCCAACCTAGAAATCTATGAATGAAATCTATGAATGAATGATGGAAGAAAAGAGTTGAGATACTCACATAGTGCTCGAATGACAGAAATCTAAAATCTAAACTTGAAAAGAACAGCTTCTGGGCTCTGGAATTTGTAGGAATATATAATACTAGTGAAAGTTTACAGAAATTCCTAATTTACATGTCATTTCATAAAAAAAAAAAAAATTGGAAAGGCGCTAGACTACTTAGTAGGAAAGCTTAAGTAAGACTGGGCTACAGGTGACAGTTTGCAAGAAAGGCAGCACCAGATTTACTGATGAGGAGATGAAGGTATAAAAGAGTTTGAAGAGATTATCTGGTGCAGGTAAATATGTAGTTGAAAGAACCCCAGCAATGACGGTAATTCAAGAAGCGTCCAGCGGAATGGGGTTGACTTATTAAAGAATGTGTATCTCACAATGGAGTCGTTTTCTTTGTCACAATCCTCAGACATCCATATACTGTGAGGCTAGAAGGAATCATTGTGATCTAACTTTCCATGTAATAGCCCTGTTAACATATTAATTGCTATTTATTTCATCATATAATTACTAATCCTTTTTGAATTTGATGGATTTTACACAAATCTTGGTTTATTCTAACATCTTATCGTTTTACAAATAAATACCACTTTTTCCTAGGTTCAGTGTGTCTGAATTCAACTCACAATCTTTGAATTTTAAACTAAAGACCTTATTGCTATCAAATTCCTTTTCTCATATGAGTATTTACAGATTATTGAAGTCATTCTTGATCTTCTCTTTCTTAAATTACAAACTAGCTGCCTGGAAGTACAAGGCCCTTCTTTAATCCTGATCCTTACAACCCTACCCAGAATTTCTCAGTTGTTACCTATCTTTCTCTTGGACATAATATTCCAGCTGAAAGAACAGAATTGCTGAATAAGAAATGTAACACAAGTCTTTAACTGCTATGTAATATTCCTCTATTTATATGCATAAGAATGAAGGATAGCATCAGCACAGCTTCTTTTGAGCACAGTATCAGCCTTTGATGCTGTGTTCTGCTGATTATCCATTATGATGCTTAGGTTCTCGTACAGACTTCCTTTATCTGACCAGAAAAAAAACAAACATTTAGCCCAGCTCTGAGCTAAATCTAAAATAATGTAAATTCTGGTTTAATATATACAAAAATTGGGGAATAGTGTCTTTACTTTTTAGTACCATATGTGCTAATTGAGTGGTTAGGTTGAGCACTATTCTTAATTTTATAAGAGATCAGACATTCAATTATAATGTTCTATTGCATTTCAGTTCATTTTAACTAGATATTAATTAGTAAAAAAATCTTTACAGTAATTATTTAAATAAAGTGAAGCACAAAACATTTTTTAATAGGCATTTTTAAAGGACTCACCTGGTTTTCTGCTGTTCAGTACTTTCCTAACATAGGTCCCTCTCCAGATGGCTTGAAGTTTAAGAGCTGCTGCTTCTTCTTCAGAAGCGGAAGTTCGGTTCTGCCAACGACTAAGGGAATTGTTCTCACAACTCTCTGAAAGAAGGGGAGGAGAATGAGCAACATTAATAAAGCTGGAAGTCCTGTAGCTGCTTGCAATGAAGTTAAAAAGAAAAAAAAACAAAACCAAATGCAAAATGATGAGAGCACTATATTCCAGAAACAGCATGATTTCTGCATAAAACTTCCATTTATGACAAAAACATCACTCTTAAAATTTTGCTCTTATTATGAAAACTACACAAAGTCAGAATGCAACTACTATGCTAATTCCACATACCAAATCATTGAATCCTACTTTTCTTTATGGACAGCTATTGCAGTGCATTTTAAAAAATCGATTCTCATAATGTAATTTAAAAATATTCTTCCAAACGTGAACCAACAGAATTTGATACATTAAAGCCTGACACTAAATACAACTCAAAAGAGCTTCACAAGATTTTAAGTGCTTCTGTCTCTCAATCTGATCATTTTATTAATTAATAATTTAAACACCAACATTGTTCAAAACATTGTATTCAACCTTTACTAAGGAGCCATGGAATAAAGATAAGATCTATGACAAAGCGAGAGTTCATTTATCTGACTGTGACTTTCTGTTACCAAAGAGTTTTGGAGTGGAACAGAAATTAGTAGGTTCTGACAGGTTAGTAATGAGCTCTTTGAAGGCATCCTTGCCTAGAATTAGCATCCTGGGAGCCATCAGCACCAGGGTTATGGGGACGGTGTGGGGAGCAGCACTACGAGGAGGCAGTGCCAAGGGGCTGGTTTGGAATGGCACAGATATAGAACAAGGGCAGTAAGACAGCATGAGAGGAAGGAAACAGTGTTCCAAAAGAAAGTAGCAGAAAACAAAAAGGAGAAAAGAGAGAAATCTATTTGACAAACGCAGACAACATTGCAGACAAACAAACTAACTTAAGAAAAGATATTGACATCATCAGCCAGGAGATCATACATTTCAATCTAATCTCTTTTACTGAATACCATTAAATGTGGCCACGTTCCTAACAACCATTCCTCACTATCGTCTCATTTCCAAATCCCAGAAAACCTCTTTAATGCTCAGTGACTTTGAAAGGTTACACAAACTCACTTCAACAAAGAATAGATTAGAAGTCAACAATATGAATGGCATATCCACCTTTATAAAACAGAAGCATATAATCACAGAATAATATAAGCTGGAGGGGACCACTGAAGGTCATCTGGTCCAACCCCACATCCAAATCAGGATCAACTTAGAGCAGGTTGCTCATGGTATTGAGTAAATGTCCAGTCCATTTTTTATTATTTCTAGGCATGTAGATTCCACAATCTCGCTGGGCAATCTCTTCCAATTTTTTGCTAGCCTCATGGTAAAAAATGTTTTCCTAATATCCAAATGGAATTTAACATATTCCAAGATGTATTCTGTCACTGTGCGTCTCTGAAAAGAGTCTTGCTCTTATCTTTGCCTATTTATTCATCAAAAGTAACACAGTTGCAAGAAGGTACGGGAATAGCACTGCAACCACCTGCAGTTACACTGGTTTAAGCTGCTGTGGAACCTCAGCTTCAGCTTCACTTGGGAGGGAGAGTGAGCATTTACAGCTGTTGTCAGCAATTACAGCCAAGTCTTACTCTTCTACTGTAGAGGAGTTTATTCAAAGGATAGATGAATTGAAAGGGCTTGCATCTTCCAAAAGCTGAAAATCATAGTGCCATAAGCACTTATAACAGCATTTGTATTTTCATTTACTGCTATTGATTACAGAACTGTTAACCTGTACCAGTTCAGATCTAGCCCAATAGATGTTTCCTGTATGCATGGCCTTTATGAGAGACCAGACTGATGACCTCAAATTCCAGCTCACCTGTCACTGAACCAAGACCTCATCCACATTAGCTCTTCAGAACAGAGCTGCGAAATGCTAATGAGGGGAATATAAGTAGAGTGTTTGTTTGGTGTCGCCCTATGAACAAACTGCAAGTTTATTCATTGCGGATGTCAAGTGAATTCCATAACTAGAAATAAATACCTATGTCATTAGAAATAGTACATTTCATTTGTGAGGCTAAAGAATATATACAGTCATTTAGTTAAATATTAATTTATTTCTGAATATACAAATATAATAATTCAGATGCAGTGTCATACAGAAATGAATTGTATTCATAGAAACTGTCAAATGTTACCTCTGATCAGGCTAAAAACTGAAAATGCTGAATGTTTTGTGAAATTATAAATTCCTAAAGGCTTAATTTCTTTTTTGTTCTAACTTTTTAAATACAATGTCATACGTACAAAAATATTTTTATTTGTAATGTTCAGGTAAAAATAATGAAGTTAAAATCAAATATTCTGATCTCTAGAGATTTTTTGACTTAACGGTTCTTAATATTTTGTCTTACAGAGAAGTATATTGCTGTAAAATTCTTTAAATCAAACAATATTAACTAGTGCCTGCTTCAAATTTGACATTATGATTGAAAACTGATTCATCAAAAATTTCTGATGTGCTTTACTTGTTAATCAGAAGATACCCTGCTAATAATAAAACTGAAGTTCTCAAAGCAGCCTAGCAAGACTTTGTTGACCGTAAAATCAACTGCAGTTTTCTCTTAACAGTGTGGATGAGTATACTGTAGGCGATGTAACATAATGTGTTTTTTTGAAAAAAATCTATTTTGCATGTACTGGAGATATACTTTACATATTTAACCAAACTTTCCCTCACCCCTTACTGGAACTCAAGTTCAAATCCAAAGTGCAAGTAGAAACAAATGTCCAGAATTATCTCTCCAGTCACACAACACAACTGTATGATCACTGCTCTTAACCTATATTTCTGGAAGAAAGAGAAGCTTGTTCTGGAAAAGAACAGGGCAGGGGAACAGGACTTCTTGAATACGGTTTACACAGGTAAGATAAACTTATAGCTAACAATTTGACTTCTAGATAAGATAAAATTTCAGACCAGAAGGTTTTAACAGAACTGCACACAAAAGGCACTCTACTTCCAACTTCAAAATTAGAATTTATCCAGGAGAAAGAAATATACCCTTTGAATTGTGCCTAAATGACTGTCAAGTATCTGAGATTCAGCTTGGAAATGAGTGTCACAGATCTCCAGTGAGTTCATGAACTGAGTTGGCTCACTATTGGGCGCAAGGAAACCATGGCACGGTAAACAGAAGAAATGTGCAACAGAGGGCAGGTAAGCAATATTTGGCTGTCAATACTATCTCCCCTCATCTTGTGTAATATCGTTCTGATATGCTTCCTTTCTCAGGAAAAGTAAGTTCCTGAGATGCTGTAAGTTCAGCATCTCATGACTGCCCAAAGTTCTGCTTTATCTACTCTCTTCTCAAAGACCATAGAAGAGCTATGCCATGGAGAAGCACTCAGCTTCAGAAACGTCCATCATCTTGTTATATGTTCATGATCATATGGCATGGTCTTCTATTGGTTTCTTGTGGCTCCTCTGCTAGTTGCTCCATGAAGATGGAAGGTATTTGGCTAATAAATGTCACTAGATCATTTTCAGGATGGCTTCTCAGAAACCTTACCGGGCATTACTGCTAACTGCAGTACATCCTAATATCCTTGCCCTCGGTGAATTCAGCATACAGTTTAAAATGAATATGTTAATATAAAATGGAAGTAGCATTTAAAAAAAAAATAAAAGCTCAGATTTGACCTGATCTACACTCAGACACAGACAACAAAAAGATTTCATTCGCTACAGCAGTTACACCAATGACTTAGGTTCCAAAGGGTTATAACTCAAGTCTCTACAAGATCTGAGCAACTAACTGGACAATGCAGCAGTGCTAACGTGGGCCAGGCAAATCAGGTGATACCAGTCCTTCTAGGTCTTCCTACAATGCATTTTTCACCTGTTTTTTTCCTGCTATCCACCTATTTTTTTCCTGACATTTCACTTGATTTATGCTTTTTTGAATGTAACTGTCTCCATTGCTTTAGAGTTCTGGGATGGAACCTGAGCAAAAGCTTTATTAATCAGGGAAAAATGTGTATCCAAGGTCAATAAAGCCAAAGGGAAACAAATTTCTGGTCTGATAGAAGTCTTTTGTAATTTAAGTCTGGAAAAGCAACTAAATTAAAAAGATATTTTCGACTCTGAGGAAACCAAACTGAAATAGAACTTTCCTCCTCCATACGTTTATTCCAATTTTTGATTCTCCCTCCAAATCCTAAAGAATATTCTAACACAGTGGATCTCATTATTCAGTAATATAACGAGGTCTTTGTGACAACCTGTCAATTGTGCTAATTATTCAAATCCAATTAAAAAATTTCTTCTTTTCTATTGCTGAAAAGTATTTAAGATTTTTAAGGAAAACAGAAATCAGTAGCACAGTCACCTTGAAAAATGTGACAGGTGTTGTTGACTTCAAGTGGCGTTAAAAATGTCAATATGATAACCCTTATAACTTATATCTTTGCCATAGGATATAATTCTGTGAAAAATACAAGGAGTTATTCAGTCATTCTGGCTGATTCTTCATCTCTGATGTCTCACAGAATAACCTTCAGAAGAGAGATTTGGAGGAAAGTCCGCATTAAAGAGTGAGAGACAAGTATATATGCTTTCTTTAAGAACAAAAGTATTGTATCATTTTGTCAGTGAAGATATTTGTGCACATTTTAATGAAGTTTGTTTATATTGATTTTCCAGAATAAACTGACTAAAGAAAAGAAGTTAGTATCATTTTGATTGACCACGGAGAAAGACTGTAAGTTCATAACAGCAGAAGGAAAAGCTAAGTGACCCTGAAAGAATGGCCTTCAAATGGTGATCATGTATCTTCCTGTCAATTTTTCAGATAAATTATTTTTCAGTCTTAATATGAAACCATGTATATAAAGCTTCTATTAAAAAATAAATAGGAATAGTAATAAATTTAAAAGTTACATATTTCGTTGCCAGGCAAATTTAATTCTAACTTCTTATGTCTCTAGCCTGCATACAAAATGAGGCAAAGAACTTGCAGGAAGACAATTATCCCTGCTTGTAATAAATTCGTTTGCCTTCCAATCGCTCCTCCCACAGTAACTTCAGGTATCCAGCATACCTTAATCACAGGCTGGAGAAGAGGTGGATGGTGCTGTAGCTATTCTCACTATATGTGTCTGACTAGCCAGCCAACATGATATGTTTTCTAAATAGTAGGCTTAAAAAACAATCAATCAAGCAAATGAACAAAATCCAAAATACCTCCACTCTCAAGAAAACCCAAAAAAACAAACAAAAAAACCCCAACCCGTCACCAAGAAATAGTTGAATTTTCAATGAAAGTACTAACTTGAGTCTTCCTTCACTCATTTTGCGAACAATGCATGCATTTAAGATCTTTTTAGTTGGTAATTTGAATAAGAGCCATTATCTGCAGTACATCAAGTAAAAAAAGCATCTGTAGATGCTCGTTAATGTTTGTCAATACTGACAAATGAAAGTCAAGAAAGATGAAGGGCAATTTAATAAATTTTATAAATTAACAAAACATAAACAGACTTTCTGGAACAAAGAAAAGGATCATTTCTGTTCTGAGGTGAGTCTCAGACGTGCTGGCAACAGTTATAAGGCTTACGCATCTAATAAGAAATGAACTGTGCTTATTTAGGCCAAAAAATATAAGACTAGTGAAAAGTTAGCTTCCTTCAAAATAAGAGTGGGCAGATATATTTGAAGTGATCAGCAATACCAATACAGTACCTGAAGACACAGTGTCATCCTCAGAAACCTCAGACCCTTTAAAATCCAAAGTGAAGGACCTGAAGGCAAATTTATAGCTGTAAGGAGCCTTCTTGCCTAATACATATTTGATCAAATACCAAAATGCACTATTGAAAACCTAAAATAAAAAAGAGGAAAAGCATTCAAAGAATGATTCATTTTTAAAGCTGATTTATATTGATTCACATTATTATTTCAAAAACTGTTTAGTGCTCTTCTTTTTTCATGTAAAAATTGAAGTCTTTAACTTCTAACAAATACAGTATATGAAAATTAATCCCAACTGTAGGACTACAGTGCTTCAAGTCAATAATCAAGACAAAATCTGTTTCATGCTTGGCTTATTAAATACAAGACTGATTCAATAGCATAAGTTTTTATCATCCCAAAATATCTTAGTAGTTTGTGTGAAATGAGTTGATGGTCTCATACCAGAGGATAGAACACGGCATTACAATCACCATCATGAAAACCGGCATTCTTATGGGAGGTTTTAAAACAGAGACCAACAACTGAACAGACATGCTTACAAAATTGGGAGGTGGCACTAGATGGAAAAGTAGGAATATATTTGATAGGCAAGAGGGGAAGATTTGGTGTCCTGCTTCTATGACTAAACTGATGACTCCATTTTTATTCTTGACATATTGGTGCCCTTTGAAGATCAGAAATCCAGTCCCTTCTTCATTCTTCCAATAGATGTAAATTTTAGAGTGTGTTCTTCAGATCTTGTTTCATAATTTGAATTAAATAACATAGTAATAATTTATTGGAAAAGACATAAATTTTCTCTTTCATTGTCTTTATTTTCAGATTTTTCCGCTTTCTGGAAACATTTTATCCTAACTTATGTATTTTAATATTAATAAACACTTCCTTTATTTTCAAAGATTTAAGACTGGTGAAGAAAGAATCTACTGCATGCTAATGTTTAGAATAATTTTTCTCTGTTTGTATTAAAGACAGATGATTTCCATATTTTCATTCTTGAATTATGGTCAGCTGAGTGCTTTTCATTTGTATAATTTATGGGCTTTTATTCCTTTACAACTGTACACTGGTCTTCTTAGAGGGAGAGAGAGGAAAAGATAGGTATTTTCATGCCTACTGAATTTTTCTTAAGGTCACTAAGGTTTATACATATTTCATATGAGCGTATACATTTAAAATTTGCATTTTCCATTTCAGAGAGGTCAAACCAATTTTTCCTGTTGGACTTGACATGAAAATTTCCTCTTTCATGAGTGATGCAACTGGAATTGTTCTTTCTCAATTCTGTTCTTTTGCTGAATTTGAGCCTTGTGTCAAGCCCACGTAAAAAAGCACTGGCTTAGGTGTTCTATTTTTTAATATCAAGAGATTATAAAAATATTAATCCCTTTCTTCTATTCAGTCTTCTAAAGAACACAGCTTGAACTGCATGAGCTTTCCAGTACTTTGATGACAGTAAGTGAATTTGGAATGTATAAAGTACTGACTACAGAAAAATCAAGTTACAGCAGTATTATCAACATTTGCATATACGTAAAACTTAGCAAATCTTTTACAGAATCTTTTTATAATATTAAAAAGCTACAGTATAGAGATCTTCAGAAAAGCGTAATGTTTTCATCATGTATCTAAAGATGCTTTAATGTATCACACAGAGCAGAAAAGTTGAAGAATGTTGCAGTTTCAGAAAACAATGGAAAACAACTCAGAAACACTGTGAGTGAAGAAAAACTCATTACTGTCTTCAGTAGTATAAGCTATAATAATGTTTTCCTGTGCCATAAACATTAGGCACAGAAAGGAATCATTTTGGCTTTCCGCATTTCAGGTAGTGTCCTGCACAGCGTGAGGTCCCGCACCTGGGTTGAGGCAATTCCAAGCACAAATACAGGCTGGACAGAGAATGAATTGAGAGCAGCCCTGAGGAGAAGGAATTGGGGTGTTGGTTGATGAGAAGCTCAACATGAGCCAGCAATGTGCACCTGCAGCCCAGAAAGCCAACCATGTCCTGGGCTGCATCAAAAGAAGCATGGCCAGCAGGTCGAGGGAGGTGATTCTGTCCCTCTGCTCTGCTCTTGTGAGACCCCACCTGGAATACTGCATTCAGCTCTGGAGCCCCCAACATAAGAAGGACATGGAGCTGTTGTAGTGGGTTCAGAGGAGGGCCATGAAGATGATCCGAGGGCTGGAGTGCCTCTGCTATGAAGACAGGCTGAGAAAGTTGGGGTTGTTCAGCCTGGAGAAGAGAAGACTCCGGGAAGACCTTCTAGCAGCCTTCCAGTAGCTAAAGGGGGCCTACAAGAAAGCTGGAGAGGGACTTTTTACAAGGGTATGTAGTGATAGGACAAGGGGCAATGGCTTGAGATTGAAAGAGGGAAGATTTAGATTAAATCTAAGGAATAAATTCTTCACTCTGAGCGTTGTCAAGCACAGGAACATGTTGCCCAGAGCAATTGTGGATGCTCCATCCCTGGCAGTGTTCAAGGCCAGGTTGGATGCGGCTTTGAGCAATCTGATCTAGTGGAAGGTGTCCCTGCCCATGGCAGGGGGGGTGGAACTAGATGATCTTTAAGGTCTCTTCCAATCCAAACCACTCTATGAAAATTAAGTCATAAAACAAAAAAAGCCGATGCTTTCTGCCCCTAAGTGTGCTAATCTAAACTGACAAAATTAGTCACTTAAATTCAGAATATACTACTTTGTGCATATTAAAATTTGTTCATATTTAAACAAGATTATTATATACAACAATATGTAGTATATAGTTGCAAGTTATGTCATTTGGGCTTACACTTAACAAAAAATGTCACGTTGGGAGTACTCAGGAGATCCTTTTTAAAAGCACAGTCATTGGTTTGAAGAGGGCAATGACAATGTTAAGCTGTTATTTGGCTTCTGTAGCCTTTAGATACGTGTTTATTAAAATTGTTTGTTCACCTTGAAGTGTTCTTCAACCATTCCCGTACCGCGGAGGCCAGGAGGACAGTGAGTTAGTTGCAACTCCTTCAAGGCTTTAGAAAGTTCAGGCTCACTGCTGAAATTATTTATCACATTTCCAACAGCTTTCAGGATAGTTGTAGCCTGTTCTATAAACCGGTAGCTCTCCTGGAGAGAGAAAGAAGAAAAACAGCCGCTGTTAGAAAGATTGCTTTAAGATTTTCCTTTCTTTTCTTTCTAGGCTGTGACAGCATACAAGCAGTTTTTCTGTGCTGAAGTACAAAACTTTTCCTAAGTAATTATTATTAATTTTATAAACTGTAATATCAATTAGGTCCCTGGTAGTCAAAAGCGTACAAGATTTCCACTGATTTTAGCTATGTTATAACACTATAGCAGGCAGTATAACATATATATGTTAAGGATTTTATTTTTCCTGTATCATGAGTTCTAGAACATTTAATCAAAAATAAGATGCACATAGACACTTTCTACTGTAGTGATAATAAGCCTCTTGTTTGCTGACATGCACAGCACCTCTTCTGTTAAAAAAGGACAGATAAGTATTTGTATCCTGTGGAAAATAATGTCCAAATACATGCTGCCTAAAGCATCATTAATCTTCCTCAGGATTTCTGTGCAAGAACGTGGACACTCTCCTGCAAATGACACTGCAAAGAAATTACTGTCTCCTAAAAAAAGTGCAGAGAAGACCCCAGGATATAATTCTGCTTTATTTTCTTGATGAGGAATAGCTTTTCATCCACAATCTGAAGACAAGGGGATAGTACAGCCACAAGACATTTTTAATGGCCCAGCTTTTTATATTTAAACTTCATTGCTACAATAAACGTAATAAATTTGTGTAAGCTGCTTTAATGTCCTATTATTAGGACTCTGAATCTATACTGCTATATAATTTTGCTGTTACACTCACCTTTCAAAATATTTTTGCACAGCTATGTTCTAGAAGCTATACTCTCTCCCTCCAGTGCCCATGACAAATATTTGGGCCTACTGCTTGCCAAAGAAATCTTGACAACATGGATGGCTGTGATATCTGTCTGGATTGTAGGCAACCAAGAACAAAAGCTGTAGTAATTATGCCCCTGGGCCTCTTATCTCAGCTATGAAATGTTGTCTGAATCAATTGTTCATTTTAGGTAAAAGCTACTCTAGGACTCAATGAGTAATATGTGATCTCATGGGACAAAACAAACTTTACTGATGTGACAGTTTATTTTACCAGGCAGGTATTTTTGAATATTAATTAATGCTTCATTTGTGCACTTTATCACATGCCTCAAAAAGAGAGCTTATATACTACTTCTGACAAACATATTTTAATAAGAGTATTTTTAACATTCCATTTTATGCTGCTGTTCTATGTAAACCACAATAGTAGCCAATGCTTACTTACGTAATTTCTATAAGACAATTATTGCAATATCCATCTTGGTGCCTGCTGTTTTGTAAAAAGCATTTTTTTTATGCATTCATCCATTTTATACTGAAATTAATATTATACTTTTAAACATAACAACTCTAAATGAAGATCCAACAGTACTTCACTTTCAAATTAAATAATAGTCAGAAACACATTTATCACAATGCTTCACGAGTTCTCGTTATGCATACCTTTTCAAGAGCTGGCATCACAGTATCCTCATCTCCAAAGACGCATGGCACCATGCTACACAGATGAATATGGTGCCCTATGGGAGAGCTTACTGAGAAGAGCAATATATGTCGTCTACATTGAAGAAAAAAAAAATCCACAAAGAACCTCTTTTTTTTTAAATCGCAGCAATTCTTAAGCTTTTCCTTTCATATATTTGGGAAAAATGAAATCCATTCCTAGATATATCGGCAGTTCAAATCCTGAATTTCTATCTCCTTGCTTCTCAAGAACCTCCAAACATAAGTAGTAGGTGAAATTAGAGAAGTCATTGTTATTTTATTTTATTTGCTTAGGTTACGGTTTTCTTTAGCAAAATAGCCAGTTTCACTATTTCAAATGGATACAATCCTGAAGTTTTTTAGTCAGGATTATAGTTATCTACAGTTAAAAACCTATTTGCTCTAGGAAGTTTAGAGAAGAAGTTAAGTGTTCTGGCCATACATTGCTTAGATCATAATTTCCATGTTTGCACTGACAAAACCAGAAAAATAACGTCTAATCATGTCAGGCTAGATGAACACTACAGAGTGACTATTTTACAGAGCAACTGTGGACCAAACCACTCAACCGTAACATCCTTAGGTGGCAAACATCAGAAATTCATTATGTCTTATTGGGATACACTCATCTCAGCTCATTCTTGTTTTTCTGAGTGTATCCTGTAACAGATTCCAATTATAAAAGAAATTCTTCCTACTACAGTCATACAATACAGGTGATTCATGCTCTTCCTTCCAGTTAACAATGTCCTGCAGTCCCACTGAAATACTTGAGGAGCTTGCTGACATCAAATGGCGAAGCTTCATAGTCTTATAGCATTGTCAGATTGGAATTACCTGGAGAAGTTGATCCAGGCCACAGCTTTACTGTTAACCAGAGTTCCAGCAGTGAGAGTAAGAAAGAAGAGTTACTCTCCACACACACACTCACACTTTGTAAATTGCATCGTCTTGTGAGTGAAATTTGAAATGTCCCCTGGCCACCAACAGTCAGAGGGAAGAAAGTGCCTTCCTGGCTTAGCAGGTAATTTCTCATTTGGAATGAAATAAGGAGCAGTCAATAAGCCCATTTGTCTCCCACAACTGCTGTAAATTAAAGATTCCTGAAAGCCTGCTGGCTCTGTCTGAAGTAGAGAGAATCAAAGGTGAGAAGCTTATCAATTTGAGCTGCCTGTATCTCCAGTAGCTTTGAAATTTGCAAGTGCAAAAAGATATACATTTTTAGCTTCCCTACAGGTCAGAGAGATGCAACTTTTGGAAACTACACTGAGAATGTGGTGGCAGAACTAACCTATAAACACAATTAACAACTTCTCAATTTTTTTTGTCTGAATCAAACTAAATAAAGGGCACTGTTAAAGATCTTTGATGTAATATCATCGTGCCAGTATTGTTGTATTTTATTTCTATGCTTGTTTATGTGAAACCTTACTTGATTTATTTAAAATACATTTTTGTCTCATCTCTTTGAGGCTAAACTGGTAACTCTCTATTTTTGGAAAAGTAGAAGGCCTCAATGAATTAGTCAACAACTTTATGCTTATGGCAACATATGACTATGTCATCTTCCTTGTTTCACTAGAAGCATTTTCAGAAACTAATAATTACCAAAGTCTCTTACCTTTCATCTATTTATTTATTTAAACAATCAGGCGATGCTCTATACTGAATATCTACAGTTATATGCAAAGATAAATAAATCAGATTAAGCACTATGTAAACGTGAAGCAAGATATGGAAGGCTTTATGGATAACCTCAGAATTTCTTCTCTTAGGTTTATAAATCCTATTTCAAGAAAAGATATGATTGAATCATCATTCTTTTACAGTGCCACTAAAAATCCTAATTCTTTAATTTTTGTTGGTACTTCAGGAAACATCTCAAAATCATTCTAGTTAGAAACACTTTTAAGCAGGAATTTGTATTCTAGTTTATTTTTAGAAAATCAGTATGATTTTTCTTGCTAAATGCTTCTAATTAACAGTAAAAAATTCAAAAATTTTATAAAGGTTTTGGTAATTATTTTAAACTCATAACAATTTCGCAGTCTTACCAAATCCTAGCTATCAACCAGTTTGATATTTCAAAAACTTCTGGTTTAGGAAATAAACTCTTAGTTACCGTGTAAAGTAAAAGATTACCTCAAGCCTTAAGACTAAAGTGTTAGGGCAGAAATGAAGCCTTGTACATACCCAACAGGAAGATTTAACACAGTAGCTTTGGTTGCGGATGTATGCATCTTTAACACAAGTTCTCTGGGAGTCAGACATTTCCAAGAGAAACGTTCAACCATCAGCACACCCTTTGAAATACTAGAACGTGCTTGTTTAGTACCTCAAATAGGAAAGAAAAAAATCCCACAATTGAGGGGCGGGAATACCAGTAAAATCAAGACAAACATACTTATGCAGAATCTGTATCTACTTCACACTCAATGAAGCCTTCATTTAGGTGTTGACAATTCAGAGAAAAGGGCCAGTCATTTAAAATGCATTGGTGGCACAGAATATGGCTTATTTGTACTATTTACTAGAAAATAATGGTTAAAAGAACGTGTTAGGAAGATGTATATATCAGACATCTTCCAAGTCACTCAAGGCTGCTCTAAAACTCAGAGAAAAATCCCTTCTGTTCACATGCAAAGGAAGTAAACAGCCATACAAAACTTATATTTATATTAGAGTTTAATTATTTTAATGGGATGGTCAGTTTGGGTTTTTTTTTAAGCTTTCCTTTAGTTCTATCTACTCTACTCTAGATGCACTAAAATTATGCCGATATCCAATGTTGAAATGTCTGATTAACTTTATTGTCATAACATGCATTAGCTTTTCTGAATGCCATTCTATGACTTCCATAAAATACAAGTGATTCTTATTTAAACCATCCAATCTGTTCAATCTTAAATATGTTTACAGCTGGCTTATTTCAAGAGCTTACAGTGTACAAGTTTACTTCAGTGTACTGATTTTCTTCATTTTGATCAGGTAAGGCATAAAGTAGCTTGCAAGAATGGAATTTGTAGAAAAAACAACCCTAAGAAACACAAGAAAATCCATACCAGGAATATATTGATGAAAAGGTTGCAGCAAATTGTAATAAGCAGTGAAGGGAGGGATCCTTTCAAGAAAATATTCATCATCAATATTAAATAACAAGAAAGCATTACTTGAATATGAGCATATTTCCTAGAATCAATTTGACTATTTAATGCTAAACTTTCAAACTGTGCCAGAATACACCACAGCCAAACACAGAAGCACAGACATATTCAAGTATGGGAAAACACGACATTAACATGCATTTTTCTGTGTTGACCTTACCTCCAGTATCATCCCAGTGTACTAATGCAGAAAAGCTAACCAGGATTTCAATGGGCATCAGACTGTCCACAAGTAAATAGTAGAAGACTCGAGCATCAGTAGACTGCACATTAAAAACAGACATTTGTTCATCTTCCATTTTAATGGAAAGCTGCCTGCCCAGGATTATACAAAGCATGACTAAGATTTCGGATATTGTGACCCTAGATATAATATGGGAAGTAATCAACTGTCGCTACTTCTTCCAAATTTCAGACATGTCATTTAAGCCCAGAGCCTTGTGCTGCATGTGTAAACCATAATGTTCAGTTAAGAGATAAGAGGAAACAGAAAAGTTTCTTGAATGATAATATATCTAATTTTATATGACATTCTTCATATGTACCTCAGTTTAGTAGTTCTACTGCCCAAACAACATTCAATGGAAGACTAAAAATTTTGTTTATGTTGCAACTTTCTGATTCTAATTAATTAGAGTAAGCTTGAAATAAGCACTCTTAATTTGTAACATATGACTGATTCTGCCTGATTTTCTACAAAAATAAATGGAGGCAGCATTTTTCACTCTCAACTATAATATATAATTCCTGTGCCAATTTAGGAACTATAGAATGATTCTACTGTTCCTAGAAATTCTTCAAAATCTGAATGTGAAAGAGCTTCTTTGCTTCAGAACTGTTTTAATACGTCTTCCTACATTCTCCACAGTCACATCAATACATTTTTTGTATTTTATCCCAGAATATCACTACTGTTATCTTCATAGCATAATATAAAAGTGTTCTTCTATAAGTCTGATACAGAATCTACCTAATGGTGTAAAAACCTCATCTGTATCAATGTGAAAAAACAGAATGGTTTGACAGCAAAGGGTTAATTTTTCAGCACAATAGCACACAGGCTTATATAGTCTTGATGGTGATTATGGCTTGTGAAAGTATATCGTGCAGTGACTGGGAAAATTTCTTTTGATGTGATTAAAAATATGGAGAGGTGTGAAATTGCAGATATACTATAATTATGAAGCATAATCCATGTAGTTTACTTTCTCAGTACAGGATTTTACATAAAGTTCATGCCTGGAGTTTACATTTCAGTACTCTACAATTACACTTCAGTTACAGCATAAAACTAGAGCTGGAACAGGATTTCCAAGCATGTTGAATAACTTTCTGATAATACAACTAATGGTAGGTTTAAATAAATACTGTAATTTCAATGCAACTAAGGGGTATTTCTAATCCCTGCAACAGAATCTTGTAAATTGCCAAAGGACTTAGCACGTAAAGAGAAAATAGAGAGCTATGCCATATAGACTCCTGATTCGGGTTTTAGGTGACAGGTGAAGATGGAGAATTGAAGGGCAGATTCAGCAGCTGTATTGTCATTAAATTTAATTTACTCTCTAAATTGTTATAAGGTAGATTTAAATCAAGATATAGAGAGGATGGAGATCTGATTCACTGTAATATATACTCTCACTACCCACTTTCACAGTTTACATAGTCAATTTTTATTATTATTGTGCAACAGCATTCCGTAACATTTTTTTTCTTCACACAGTGAAATACTTCTGGATATTTGCTAGCAAACATTACCTTTGTATTGACTATAGTAATCTTAAGGCACTATTATTTTTTCAGTAATAGCAGTTCTATGTGATCTACTAATGTCATTTAAGATATGGATATTATCTAAATACGTAAGACTGACAAAAATAAAAGAAAGCACATAAAAACTCAATACAGTCATATACCTTAAAATCTGTCTTCTGATAGTTGTAAGCATATGTATGTGGCTTGTGGAAAACATACAGGTTCCTAGGGAGAAAATAAAATAAAAATACACACAGCAAAATAATCTTAGTCTAAATGATATATTTCAGGTAAATGTCTATTTCATAGCATAAGATACTAATAAAACTTTCATAAATCAGACTCCCAGCTATTTCTCAAAAATGGTTCAACATTTCTAGTTTCATAAAAGGTGAACATAGTTCATCTCCAGAGAAAGCAGCTGACATTAATTTCTACCTTTGCTGTACTTCTACAGTTTTCCATTGGAGGTCAGGCCACTAATTTGTCCAATTTGAATCTATAGATGGTAATAAGCTAATATTACTCTAAAACTTCCAAGCCTACCTGAATATTACTGTAATAAAGTTATCTATAAGGATAAGGAAGGTAAGGAAGAACTATTTTGTACAGTTCTTCAATGTGCTTTTTCAGTTCTGTGGTGTTTGCATATTTTCAGAAAGCTACTTAGTACCTGACAACATTTTTTTCTGAATTTGACTTAATGACGGGCAACAAAAATGACTTCAGCTTTAACTGAGGATGGAATCAGTTGCAAAGTCCAATGTTTTGTGTAAAATAAATGTTTTGATTACTCAGAAACTTCACAGGGATCCTGAGCCATTGCCAACATATCAATTCCTACAATGACTAAAATTTTCCTCATTTCTTAAAGTTGATATGAACTCTGAACATTCATTGTATTTGCACTGTATCTGAGATATAGGCATGTCAGACAAAGAAATGCTTTCAACAGAACTGACTGGTAAAATGAAAACCTTGGGTGCCTAATTTCTTCTAAATGATAAATTCCTCAAAGGTCAATCAAGATTGTTTGTTAACACCTACTTTATCATTTCACTGTAAAAACAAGTAAACTCTCACCCATTTAGAGACAGGAATAAGAAATCAACAAATGCTCTATATATTAATTAATATTACTGTGGTCTACAAAAGGTCAACAGTACTTTAACATTTGGCTAACAAGTTAAAAACTTCATATTTCACATTTTCTGTGTAGGAGACTATAAGCAAGACTAAAAGGGAAGGAAATTACTTTGGTTGTGATGCCTTTTTCTGAAGGCCATATCTTCCTGGACCTGCAGCTCCCTAAAATTAGACAGGCAAACCTTAACAAGGTCTAAAGTGATCTATGATCTTTTATTCCTAAAGTTCCTGTAGTGCTGCTGGTATAAAAATTATGCATTCTCCCTCAGAGAGAGAGCAGAGTTTAATATCTGCTCAAGAAAGCATTCATTTATGAAAATAAAAGCTTCACAGAGAAATCTGTTACAAATTGTAATTCAAAAAACCTGGGTAAATTCTCTGATATAATTACTCCCCTCAGCAATGTCAGATTCTTTGATGGATCTACAGTGTACGAGGCTTCTTAAATCTGAAAGACTGAAGCTAAAGATACTATGCTGCAATTACACTAGCTTTTTTATGTTTGCAGAGGTATAAATGCCTTGGAATTATATTGAAAAAAGGGAGGCAAAGAAAGCACCGAGTTGACCAAGCTGAGCTATGCTGATGGCAACAGAAGATTTCAACAACTTGTTTTGCCTTAGAATTGTATTGTTCAGACGCAGAATGTGTTTGCCCAGTGGCTGACAGGTCGGGTATGTGAGCACCATAAAGGCTGCACATTTCATGACCTATCATCTGCCACCCGCACTTCAGTCTGACATATGCTTTATGAAGCTGGTGGCTGTGTTCTCCGCTGTACTCTGGAGGTCATGCTCAAGACACAGCATGGGGCTGCACCGATGGACTCACTGTCAACAGGGACAGTAAGTCTGGTCAGAACAGTAAGTAGCCTTAGGACTACCTTGAAAGGCATGATAGTTACACAAAGAAGATCTGTTGAGAAGATGCAGTTTTTATATAGACACATTTTGCATTTTACCATTGTCATACTGTGTATTTTATAGAATAAAACCCAAAACCTCTGTTGCTTACTGGAAACAAACACAGAAGTCTTCAAAGCTAATCCAAGTTTCCCTGGAAACAGAAGTCCTTTCTGACTCGATTTCTTCTTTTGATTTATCCCCCATCTGGCTGTTCATATCAGTATCAGCTGTTTCTGACATTCGTTTTGCATCAAAACTGGTATTTTCATGTAATTCTTCTGTAGAGATAAGACGACACACAGAGTCAATACAGTGACAGTATGCACATTAAAGTAGTATCACTCTTATATTGAAAAATTATCCTAAAATTAACAGGATATTTTCCATAAAATCTCAGAGTTTAAAAATAAAAACTAAAATACTAACCCGAAAAGCTCAGAAGGTGACTGAAATGTCTCTCTATAGATATTTGTTGCTTACATCTGCAACTGCTGAAGTATTCTGCCTCAATATACTATTAAATATTGAACTGTGCACTAGAACCTTTAGTATAAGCATGTTAGGTGAACATGCATACGAATTCTTCAAACCTACAGTTACCTATATAAATAAAAATACAGCCCCTTGTCCAAAGCTCCTATTCAGTGAAAAGCTGATGGAGCAGTATTGTAAAATTTTTACAACCCACAGAAAATAAAAAATACTGAGAATTGTGGAGGACACAAAGACCTATCCTTGCTTCTAAAAATTAGATACTACCCCCTGTGATGCTACGGACACAAGACAGTCTAACTGCTTGCAAACAGAAATAGATTTGAATGACATTACATGAATTTTCTGGTAGGAAAATCAGAACTACTGTCATATTCATACCAAAATATAAACACAGAAATTTCATGTAGACACATTTTGCAATCGTTTAATAACTTTTAAGTTGTGTTGTAATGTCACTTTCTCTGCCTTTACTCTGTGAGATACATAGAAATAGTTATTGAAGATGTTTAATCTATACCAAAAAAGAAATTTTGAGAATAGCTCAGAACAGCTGAGAACAGTAGAACAGAACAGCTCAAACACGAATGGCTATTAATTCAGAATGTTTGCTAAGGAAAAAGATGAGATATCCAAACAGGTAAGGTATAACAAATAAGAAAGCTAATTAGAAAAATACATTCTTGATATTTAAATATGCTTTGTAATACTTCATGATCAGTGAGACACATCGTGATGTGCTGGATAACTAATGAGTTTATAACATGTAGGTGGCTCTGAATTAGTTTGCAACTAATTTTTCAAGAACTGAAAGAAGTATAATGTAAGAAAATGCACCTAAGACCTTTTTCTCTTCCTTACACTATGGAAAAGCTATCTGAAAGCTTTAAAATCTAGGCTTTTCCTTAAATTTAAGTTAACATAAGTTTTCAGCCTCCAGTGAAATAACCACAGTGTTTGGCTTACAAACATGCGTATCACAGAGAGTATGATGAAGGGGTCACCAGAGCAGAACTATGCCCAATATCATCTTCCTGTGGCTCAGTGCTGCTCTTTGTTCATTCTGAACACGAGTACTAGAATACTATCAATAGACCTTCCTGAGGATCAATGGAGTTAGTAGACATCTGCGTCCTTCAAATAGAAGATATGCTCCACCCTATTTAAAAGTCAATACATAAACCTGAGGACTGGTGTCAGAGGGAAGATAGCTCTTCCAGAGCAGCTAAAGGAAAGCAAAACCAATGTCAACAAAGTGGCTGAAGTTTCCTCACTTCTCTTTGAAGAAGTAATGAGACTCTTGTGAGAATGTAATCAAAAAGCATATTTTATCCTTTTTGATCTATGCATTCCAAAGATAGCGCTGTTCAGAGCTTCTTGGCACCATACAGAAATACAATTTTAAGAAAAAAGTAAATTAAACTACTAACTATCATTTACTTTGTATGCAAGAAGCGTCATTTCCAGCTATGAGAAACTGCAAACACCAGGTGATATAATGAAGATATAATTTAGGGAATAAAACTATAAATAAATTCGAAGCAAATCTTAAGAGATGTTCAGTATAAAATAGTATTTTAAAACTGACATATGGGAGATAATTTCAGCAAATAATTGTCCGTAATTACCATACAATTTATTCCTTGAACAAATGCAAATACTAATCAAATACACGGGGATATAATACGAGCTTATTAAAGTTAAACACTGCAGAGAGCTTCAGAAAAGAGAATACCATATTTGAATTCAAGCATTTTATGCTACTTAGAACTCAAGTAACAAGGATTAATGTTACAATCAAGCTTAAGAGAAAAAAAAAGTAACTTGAAGAATATAGGAAAACATAGAAGTACAGAAGTAATAACAAAACGTATTGTAACAAAAAATAGAAGACAAATACAAACAGATCAATAACGAAGAGCAGAGCAATATATGAACCAGAATAATTAATCCAAAAAGGGAAAAAAGAAAGAGTAGCAAATGAGCACAGATTGGTAGCGTTTATCACAAAAATCCCTATTTTTATGGTAAGAAAATACTGCGCTGCATGAAATCCTCAAAATTATTAGAAAGAGAAATGTTCTTAAGAAAGTGAGAAGACACAATTTAGGAAAGTTTAGCACCAAACACTGTCGTTGTTTTTGGTAAGGGCCCATCATTTTTCAAGTACTGGCACTTTACTGAGATGCTTAAATGGAAATCACACCCCTCTCATCAAACTGACTATAGTTTTGGGTGTCAACATTTGTTCAGTATCTTGATGTTTTGTATCTGGCTCTTTATAGTCACGAACTAGCTCTTTAGGAGAAAACAATAATAAGCAAACTAAAATGATTGCTAGCCAAGTAAATGAAAAAGCACAAGAAAATATTACCTTATAAAGAAAATGTTCAAAATGGTTCAAAACTGAAATGAATTCCTCACGTCAGTTTTCAGGAAGAAGGGATAGATAGGCTGGCTTATTGGAATAAAAGTACAAAAGTGGAAATTTCCTACTTACAGCAGAAATTGCAAGAACTTAACAGAGGTTGTAGCCAGTTTCCACAAGAGAGCACAGAGACAACAGCACAGGAAATCTCCAATTCACAAAACGGTAATTAAGACACCTTTAAATTTTGGTTTTCTACCATGAGTTTGAAGATTATCAAATGTTTTAAAGAACACATGAGAAGTGATTTAACCAACTACAAACTATTTGTTCCAATGTCAATAAACCAAATTTCAAATGCAGGCAAACGGGTAGATGAACTGAAAGGCAAGATAACTTTATCTAGGTGGCACATGTCAAACTAGCTTAGGGTATTTTTTTCTTGGATGATGTGGAGGGTGTTGATAGGAAGAAAAAAAAATCACACAAAGAAACATAAGTACCATACGTGCTCTGCCTTAAAACAAATCACATTTTCATTGCAAAAAGAGTGTTACATAATGTTGCAAAGCTGAAGGTAAGCAACCTATCAGCTTCAGGCCACTTTAACAGAACTTTTATGGAAAATATAAAGATTGCCCACATGATCAAAGAAATTTTACACCTTGCTGTGTACTATTTCAATATGTCCTGTATACACCGTACAACAATGTCATAATTCCAGCATGCTCATTTGAAATTTCACTTTCTGGTTTTATCATTTTCAGCCTGTATTTTAGTTTCATTATGTCTCTGGACGAATACTGGAACAGCAAGATTCCTGTGAGATAACAGATAATCATGGGAATAATATGATACTACAAACAACTTCCATCAGATTCTGCATCTGCACCAAAAGCAATTGCAAATCATAGAAAAGCACTTCATCTGGAGAATATAACTGCTTTATTGTAACAACACCACAGACAGAATAAATGTAAATGTATAAATTTTCATTTTAGAACAAAGCACAAGTAAGTGTAATTATGTGCTTTAAGACAAATTTTTTGTTCTGGTAGATTTGCAAAGGTACGATTTCCTACTCTGAGGACACTGTAGAGAAAGACAGTGATGCAAAAACTTTTCAATGCATTTAGTGCAAAATTTTAATAGACTTGAGCAGCCTAAGTAGTTTAATGACAATAGTTTAAATTGATTTTTTTTTGAACAAACAAAAGGACAGAGATTCCTAAACCGAAAGGTATTGAAATATTGAAAAGTAATTATTCAATCAGAAAAGGACTTGTTTATACATGAGTTTACTTGTAAAATATCACTGTTCTCAATAGGCATATGTTTCAAATCCACTTCAATTGAACAGAAAGAACTTTCCTGACATTAGACTACTCATATATTTAACTGTCTAATTACCTATAACCTAGCTGTGAAGAGATAGTTATTGAGTTCTCATTCACACACTTTGCAAAATTTGAGCAATTTTTAGCCATGATAAAAGTGTATTAAAATCTCCATACTCATAAATAAAACATTTTTTAAAAGATTTATCTGTTGCTCTCAGTTTTGGCTCATGATCCATGCTTTCAGATATTCTGTCGTGTTGAAAGACTCATAACAAACTGTTTTGAAGTAACAGCAATATGAAGTAACCTTCATAACCCACAGTGCATGGCATAATGCAAAGCATTAAAACAAGATATATTACCAAGCCTCCTTTCCGAATGACTTTTTTCTTCTAAAAATAATTTTATGAAGATGAATTTAGTTAATAATTAATTAAGACATTTAAAGGAATTGTATTATTTAAAGAAAAGTAATCATATCTGTACCATCTAATAGGAGCATAGAGCTCCAGACTTTGAAGCCTGAACTGGTTAGTAATATTTTCTATGTAAAGTTGGAATAAATGGATTTGGCATAGAGGAATGACAACATATGGGTTGAGATGGCTTGGAGACTGTGAAAAGAACCTGAGCACAACAGATTTTGTTAGAGTAATAATGTGAATTATTAGTATTTAGGTTAACAGATGGAAACGTCCATTTCATCCTTTTGCTTGGATGTGCTATGGGAGCTTTTCTTCAATGGGCATTTCTTGAGTAGACTTTCAAGTAAGCAGAAAAGACAGCAATCTGGCTATTGAGATACACTAACTTCAGAATCAATTAATAATGACAGCTACAAAAATAATCCAAGATCCCAACATATTCATGGCAGGCTTAGAGTCATATACTGCAAACTACTATATTTCTATTAGGTTTTGGTGTTGAGCTGTGAGAGAATAGCTTAATGATATATTTCCAGATCATTAACTTCTAGCATTTCAGTAAAGTGAGATTATACTGGTTTGGTTCTTTTTTTACTGAGATGATATTAATAAAAATAAGAATTCGTAAGAAAAGACATTCAAGCACTACAGTACTCAAAATCAGTATCAGTTCTTAAAAGTACAGCCTCAAAATTATATCCTTTGCCTGTTCTAAAGGTATGTTTACCAAATTTGTTTAAAAACTATTTATTAGTATAGGATTTGGAGAAGTAAGACTTACATTTGCTTCAAGATATTTAAAAATTATAAATGTATTCTCACTCTTCATTATACTTTTACTATGACCTAGGTTTTTGGTTGTGGGTTTTTCTTTTCCTCCCATCTCTTTATAACCTTATCTTGTATTATCCTATCTGGGAAGTCACTAGAGATGCTTGATAGGTTGCACATATATCCAGAATGAAGATAATGTTAAAAACTAAAAATACCTAAACATCTTAGGTTTAATCACCGGGTTTAATTATTGTAGAAGTTAAGAAGTTTTGCACATACTTTAACTGAGAGGATATTTATTGTATTTCTCAATTATTGTCAGAGGGGATCATAGGTATTTCACAGAGAACAAAATAATAAAATGTTTTTAAATAACGGCATTCTATGTCTTTTCCCCTCCATAAGAATCAACCTTCAGAAATGCTTAAAAAGAAAAGGTGCACTGCACAGGCTTCTACATTGACTGAAGAGTTGAAAACCGAAACCAAGATGAGTATCACATACATGAAACATGGTGTAAATAAAGCATGAATTCTATTCACGTGTTTCCCGTGCTGTTCTGTTTTAAGATTCAGTTTCAGAATTCTGGTAAAAAGAAAGGTTATCCCAGCAGTCAATTTTAGGAGATGTTCCTTGTGCACCAAGCAAATCTGGTCACTTCTTTTAAAAAGAAAGTTCATACTAACTTCTACTGACCAAATCCTTAAAACATTCACTTAAACAAAGAACTACATGTTTTGAAAAAAATGACTGTGTCTGAATACTCTTCAGATACTAACCTGGCATTTAAAAAGTAACATTTATTAAAAAATGGAAGTTACCCTTTTTTCTTCCCTTTTATTTCAGGAGAAAAAAAAAAAGTGTAATTCACAGTGATTAGAAAAAGAGCTCTGTGTATATATCAGTACATTTTACTGGAGAGTAAATTATGAGAAGTGTTACTTTTTCAAAATATCATTGCAAATTAGGGATTTTTTAATACTAATCTGAAGATTCTACTCTAATTCACAGTTCTTCAAAATCTCTTCCTGTAAAACCAATACCCATAAATAAGACTGTTGATATTTGTACATAAGGATTAGCATTGAAACCAAACAATATGGGAACAGCAGAAGTCTGAAAATACACTTACCTTTACTGGATCTCTCTGCATTTTGCTGCCGGAAGAGAGTGGTCTCCTATGTGGTGAAAAAAAACCAAAGCACAACAATGGTGATAATATTCTTGCATTATTTTGTTAAAGAAAACACTTGGGTTCAGGCCAGCCCTTCCTGAGACGGAGAAACAAACTAGTAAGTTATCATTGTAGTATTTTTTTTTTTAAATGAAAAATAGAAATAATAAAATTCACCATAGTACCTACATATACATCGCCAATAGACAGCTCGATGTTTTTTCTAGAGAAGTAGATGTGATTTGGAGTCTGGGATAAAAACTGTTCCATATGCCTACTCCTCTGCCATTAAAAAAACGTTCTTTGATATTACTGTTCTTTGACAACAAAATAAGTTCTATTGTAAGAACTAATTTGTCCTATAGAACCAAGTCTCTTCTTTTCTATTCTAAGTTTCCATTCTTGGAAAGAATATGGAGAGCTACTTTTCCAACAAGCATTTCTTGCTGTGCAAGTGTACACAACTCTCACTGCCAGCAGCATGTCTGACTGCTACAGCACCTTTTGTTTTCTATCAGTTGCATAAATAAAAAGTAGCCTGCTCTTTTTCAATGTTTTTGGCAAACAAGTTTATCCTGCTCAATACCATTTCCAAGCTAGAGCTGCTGAACTAATATAAATGCAATTTCCACTTATGTTTAAAGTTGAAATCAAGTTAGCCAGCCTTTCAGAAAGTCCACTCATTAAATTTGCAAAGACAGAGTCCTTTTCTTGGAGAGATTAAAATCTTTGATACTGCTAAAAATGCATGCCCAGTCATCCTCCCTTTTGGCTGCACTCTTACCTGCAATATGACATACTCTGTACGAGATTCACTTGTACTTCTCTCTCTCTCTCTTTTTTTTTTCTTTTTTTTTTTTTTTAAATGAGGGAGAGAGAGCAGGAAAAAGAGATTCCACAGTTCCCAGCTTATTTCCTATTTGAATGTGGTACTATCAATAGGTTAACTTAACTAGTTTTGCCTTTGCAAAGATAAATATTAAAGCCTAAAAAGGCTACTGCAAACAAATTTGCAAGCTTCTTTTCATCCCAGGTCTCCCTTTAACAAAATTTGTTCACCTCCCCACTCAAACTCCTTATATACACCCATCTTTGCATGTGTCAAAGGGGCTAATGCTGAAACTGATAGCATTGAGCTGGCCAACATCTGGACACACAACAATTTTCTGTTCCACGTTTCAGAGAGGAGTTGTGGGAGCTATACTGACTTGGAGTTGGTTTTATGCTTTCTCAATACAATCTAGAAACATTTTTTGAGGGGCAAACTGACATAATTTAGAGAGTCTGAGTAAGTTAGATTGGGTGGCAAGTCACAACAGTACCTAAAGCTTGCACAAGGTCATTGTGCTATAACCCCAGGTCTGCCTCAAACCTCCTGTTACAGACCCAGAATATGAAGAGATCTGTGAATGCTCCCTTACTGGAAAGCCTTATGGCTTTCTACTTAAATCCTTGCTGCAGTAGAAGTCTTTCTGTAGTATTTTACAGCACCTCCACAGGCCCAGAAAGCTCAGGGATCTCACTTCTGTCAAAATTTTAGGTGTTTGATCATCTCTGAACTAAATAAATGAAAGAGTTGAGAGAATAAACTACAGATTTAAGAGTCTCTGTCCCAAAATAGGAAGTACCAAATAATTTAATAGTTATAATTTAACTGCAGTATCATATATTGCGGGAATTTGAAAGTCCCACTTTTGCAGAGCACAAATCCTAAACTCTATTACAAATCTGTTGTGGGTTTTTTAAAGAATGTTCATGAGTCAAAGCTGGGGACAGGTCTAATTTAAACAGCAATCAAAAAAAAAAAACCCATATATTTTTGAAATTGTTAACAGTTGAACAATTTGGTAGCTGAAATATATTACATCTTACATGTTCCTTTTTAGATTAATTTCTTGCTTTTCTAGAGGAAATGAGCTGAAAAGGACACAACAGGATTTTGCAACTGCCCATGTACTTCAGCTTCTGTTTCCAGACTTCTGTACATGAAACTGTGCAAAACAAGAGGCAAGCTGTGATCACTTGTCACATGACATTGACATGCATGACTCGTTATTTACATCTGAAAAGTCTCTCGCAATACCTGGACTATTTCTCCCCTTTAAACTGTGACTCCAGAGGTATGCATGTGTAGAGCTGTCATATTTCTGCATGAGAGTCTACAGCTTGCAAGATTCCAATACTGTCAAATTTCTTGTAGGAGTCACAGGATTTACCGAACAGGTACACGTCAATTGTACAATTTACCCAGTTTCTTCTCAGAAATCCTGGGCTTGTTAAAGTCTAAAAAGTATCAGATCTACTATACAAGCCTTGGAGACTGTAATGTTTGCTCCTCAACACAAGCACTTTCTGCCACACTTACTGTTCATGGACAGTACACATGATCCATGCTTCTAGTACAGACATGTGGCAGCTTACTATAGAGCTACTTTGTTGGTATTAACAGCTGGCAGTGGGAAGGCCTGGAGAGACACAGAAAATCCTCAAAAACTCCTTCAATAGAATTTCCAGTGAAGGAGGAAAATGTACTCTGGAAAATCTGGATGCTTAGTAATGTTACTTAAGCCAGTTTGAGCTGTGAAAGCAATCTAACTAGAGCTGTGGAGAGTCTCCTGTAGGTTCATTTACTCAGTTTTTGGAGTGCAAACACAACATAGTCCAAAGCTGCCTGCTTCTCTAGTGGTATGGGATGTGTCCATCTGCCTAAATCTCACTGATTCAGAGACAACTGGGAGTGTCAAGGAAGTTCTCATCCTGTTACACTATTGCCTCAGCTACAGCGACTAAGACATTGGCATAGAAAGAGATACTAAAGGCATTTTCCTCCTTAATGAACACACATTGTCTGAAAGGTCAGCTCTGCTGCCACGGTATCTGATAAAGAAAGAAGTAAAAAAAAGACTTTGATTCAGCTGTGAAACATGGAAGGATGCACACAGTTAGATTCAGGGAGAATTTAGTTATTGTTCTTCCTGCAATCAATGGGAAATCTGAACATAAAACGTTAAGAAAATTCACTGTTTAACTTAAAAATCTAACTTAGCATCTATTATGTTTTATAATCATTAACACATAATTCTAGAATAATGGTAATTCATAAACTTAGAGCTATCTTGTTACTTTCAAGGATTCATTTGTATTGTTCAACCTTCTAACATTAGTTATGTCATTATTTTATACAAATCCACCAAATGATATGTTTTAAAATCTATCTGATATTTTTATAAAACCAATATCCTCTTCTACTGTAGAAACAATGCATGGCAAAACATTTCACACCAGTTTTTCTGTAAAAAACACCAGTGTTCTTCCAAAAATAAGCTCTCTGGATATAATTGCAGTAGAAGGAATAAAGCTTTAAATACATTATTTTTAAGATTAAAAATCCATTTTAAACATACCTCCAAAATGATGAATCACCACCAACTATAAACATCAGTGTGCTATCAATATTCTTCTCATAAAAAATCCCATACTAAATACAAAAGACAGAGCTATTCTAGTGCTAAAAAGAATCCAAACTAACTCTGTCCCAGTCAAAACCAGGACAATGACCAAAATATGTCTTAAGACCCAAACCTGTATTAAATTTCTAGGTTTGATGTTGACCTGAGAGTTATATGATCAAAGGGGTTTGCATCTATAGATACTTCAAAGCATTCTTTTTTTGCCTACTCCTGAGTCACTGTTTTCACTAACTGGAATATCAGCTCTAGATTTAGCTGTGATGTGGGAGAAGGTAACAGAGGTGGCTTTTGAAAAAAGGCAGTTGTACAAAAGAAAACAGCTGCAAAGTTGAGCAGAGGCTGAGGTACAGGAATGGCTTAAAAATACTGGATTACAACGCAGCTTATCTTTTATTCAGTCTGTAATGTTGGCGCTGTCCCATTCTATATAAGCAAGTAGCTACCTGCAGGCCCATCATAAAGGTTCTCTATATCACAAATATCTAAATTGAGAACTCAGCTCCTTCTAATTCATGTGCCTCGTATCTCATGTATACTTTTTTCCTGAAAAAATAAGCAGAGAATCTTCATTTTGTGCAGACAAGTAATTTTTAAAAGTATAACATTTGTAAAGAAAATAGAATTTTGCATTTTCTACCTAGCCCTCCTGTTGACTCAATACTAATTCAACTGGCTTATGAAACATGTCACAAGAAGGATTAGAATGAGGAGAAGAAAAAGCTTGTTATGGTACAACAGTCTGGAACATTTACGAGGAACATGAAACAAGCACACAACAGAGCATGCAAACTAAATAGAGTGATACCAGTTGTAAAGCAGAAGGTAAGACTGAGCTTCCATATATAAAACGATGGCAATGAAGTAAGAAAAATTAGGTAAACATGAACATTAAAGAGCAAGTGTATTGTGTTTGTGTCAGAGGGAGAGAGTGGCAATTTTAACTCTTCTCCTCTTTCTGCTCTAGAAAGCGCCATTGCCAGGAAGCTTGACGCTGAAGAAGCCACAAAAAAAAAAAATGTTCTGCTTAAGATTTCCAAATTTAGCAATCAGTAGTCATTCTAAATATTTAGTAGCCATTGCAAATTCTGATGGTAAACATATTTGGATTAAATTTTTTTTGCTTTATTACTGTTCATAATTTCCTCAAACAGAAGGCGAAGACTTTTCTTCTCAATGGAATTGGAGATAACTTGTATTAAAGAATTCATCATGATGAAGAATATTCAAGTAGGCTTTTGAATGGCAGAGCTACAAGGAAACACTATTACAGGATAATCTTTTTTTCTGAACAGAGTTTGCCAAAATTACTGTTCCAGAAAACTGCAAGACACTGTGCAGTTTACATATGATGACCTTTTTTGCTTTTTTCCTGACCACAAAAGTGGATAAGGGGGAAAAAAAAAAAAAAGGAAAAATCAAATTCTGAAAACCTTCTAGTTCAGGAAGCCATTATTCTACAACTATTTTTTTTAAACCAAATTCAAAAAACCAAAAATCTACTTTCATATGCATTTCAATGCATCTTACACATAAAAATTCCTTACCTTCCTATTGAAGGAGAATAAAAGTGAGACAACTCTTCATTAAAGAACTGGGCCCTATTTTATGGTGGTTTTAAACAAAAAATTCACAAAATGTATTTTCTTAGTAAGAATGTGGTTCAAGATCAATTTAACTACCAAAAATAAATATTTTAAAAGATTTTTTTCCTAATGCAAATCCACAAAGCTTTCAGAACTGTAAAATCAGATGTAATGGGAAATTCAGGGGGAAAAATGTTTGGAAAAATGAATAATAAAGCATTCCTATTCTTTGGCATGAGTACTCTGGGGACATTAGGGATATTGCTGTCTTTCAACTTGATATTCTTCAAAGAAGGTACATCCAGCTCCTAAAATTTTATCTTTTATTTATCACTAGTCTCTGTTTCTGTGACAACAGACCTTAGGAACAGTGAATCAGATACTCAATGATGTAACTTCATGCAGTTTGCATTGGAGTGAATTGAAATATGCCAATTTAAACTTGTCAAGGATCTGGCAAAGCAGCTGACTGAATTTCAGTCAGATTAAAGCATAAAACTACTGCATCCCAAAGATTTACCAAATTTATATCAATGGTTTTAAAGCAGACATCTCCTGAATAGCAATCGCATAGGTTAAAACGAAGACAAAGTTATTCACACTAAGTTTGCTACAATATAAAATTCTACAAATTAGCCATAACCTAGTGAGTTGGGGGTATCAAAGTTTCTTTTTCATGGTTTTATTTTTTAATTACTAATTTTTTTTTTTTTAAATAGTATAGATGTATAGCGTTATTTCAAATTTTAAAACTATGGAAAGAATGTTCTCCCATAATGAATCTCCCAGAGGCATACATATAATTTTGTTGATTGAAAGATTTAATATGTGAAATAAAGAAGATTGTGCTGCAAGTTAGAAACTATTTTCTTCTGCAATCCATACAAATGCAGTCCTACTTACATACTGTAGATATTAATAGGTACAGCATTTTTCAGCTAAGATTTAAGTTGAGGCAAAAGTAAGGTTCAAGTATAAGTCAATTAGCTGCTCATGACTTTTTACACTTCATGTTGAATCAGATTGCCCTCAGACTAAGTCACACTCATGTCTTTTTCCAACCATTCTGGTTTTATCAATGTGTGTCTCTTATATCTTCTTACTTGACCTTGCCTCTCCTTGAGTGCATGTCCTACTGTGACAGACCAGCTTTCTAAAATCACATGGTTCTTGTGCTCTTGGACTAGGGGAGGAAATCAAACTGACATTCCAAACTACTTTTATGCTTCTAGCACATAAATGTATATTAATTCATAATTAACTAAACCTACATTAGTACAGCTAGAGGGACTGAAGTCACGCAATCAGCGACTACTATACACAGTTCTTTTTTACTCCGTTGCTTTTGTAATGATTTTCTTAGGTTGCAATCATTAAAAAGATTTTTAAAAGGTCATGAAGTACTAATTAAACTATTGTTTATAAAACATATACAAAATACAGAATAGTTATAGATTCTATTGAATTCTCTTTCACTACAGAATTGTCTTAAACTAATAAATATGCAATAACTATACACACAATAGATATAGAACAGTTTAAAACAATTGAATTTCAGAGCTGAAATACAAAAATGGCATTACAGTATAATCAGAAGAAATATATAAATACCAAAATTACATAGAAAAATATTTCTTTTTTATTTCAAAATTTACCAGACTAAATTATGTTTTCTTTGTTCATGAAGATGCCTAATACTATCCTTAACAGTATGTCTATGATCTTCAGACACATTTTGAAACCCTACAGACAGTCACTACACATCAATCAAATACTACATATGTTACCCTGAAGTATATTTATCTGTTTGTCCCAGAAAAGAACAGTAGAAATTTTAAAATAATTGGGTCATCCTTACTACAGGATTGTGCAGATAAGGACTTTGTTGCTCTATTTTCTTCATGCAGCACTATGGATGAATAAATTTTATAGGTTCTGTTAAATTATTTTCTATATTGTAATCATATTGAATGTAACAGATACAGAAGAAGTACTCATTCTTTTCTTGAACTAGAATATAAACTTAGAGTGGAGGACTGTAGTAAACATTTACAAGTTGAGACTACATCTTCCCCATAGTAAAATTGATTTATTGAGCTGTATCCAGTTTTTGAGTGTAACTTCATTGAAAGCAGTTGTATATAGCCTAGACTGCTTTTTCCATCAATTTTCTTAAAGTCAAAAAGAGAAATGCTATCAGATGCTCTTATGAGCAGTGTTTGCTGCAGTAAGGATGAAATTGAACACATCCTGTCTTCAGAATGTCTCCGTTTCCAATTTGGGTTCCTTTGTAGGTGTTGAGAAAATAAAAACTTCGGTGGAACTCTGTTTGTTTGTTTGTTTGAAGATTTAAGTCTCTGTTTCTCTATGCTGTGAATTATTCCCCTACACAAAATATTTCGCTCAGTAAGCTTGAGTGTCTAATTCATGGCCAAGGATTCCCTTAAAAGTTCAAGTTTCTGAAATTTAAGAGCAGACAAACTCAGCATTGAAGTCTTAACTCTTTTTATAGATCTAGCTTGAAGTCTTTAAATTAAGAACCAAAGAGGATGTCATTTTTAAGGCATGAGTTATAAAGTTTACATTTTTCAAGTCGTCATGTGCCTAGGTACATCCTTCACTGTAGATGAAAACACTAATTGTAACTTGAAGAAAACATTGATTTATAAAGACCTCTGACTATCTTCTTAACTCTTCCATCAAATTGATTTTAAATAGCAAAACCAAAATATTTTATAGTGTTAGGAATAGAACTTTTATAATCTGAGGAATAAATCATAAAAAAATGTTAAAACAAAAGCATTAGGAAATGTTTGCCACCTAGTACACATCAATATAACTTTAAAGCGCGAGGAATAGAGAAATTACTTACGTATCAGGGAAAAATAAAAGCTTACTGAAAAGGCTTTAAAAACCTATATTTAAGTATTAAATATCTTCTGTTTTGCCTTTCATTATCCTTTGGAATATAAAACTAAGTCAAGTTAAAAAAAAAAAATAAGGAAAATTATTACCTGAGAATAATCTTCTGCATTTGAGTGTCTCCCACTTGGATTCATTTCCACATTACAGTAACTCACATTTTCATCACTTTCAGTAACAGAAGGGAGACAGGATATGGAATGAAATCCTTTTTTGATGGTAGACTGTGGAAAATGGCTAAACAATGAAAGAAAATTCAAATGCTTTAAACCATACATTTACTTTCAAATGACAATCTTCATAACTGCTCTTCTTAACAGAATTTTGTCAAAACAATTTGTGCCTCCTTTATTTTGACAGCTTAATGGGGAAGTACAAAATCTATATATACATACATTCCTTATCATTCCTGGCTTGGCACTACACACATATCTACGCCCAAAAGACGTGAACTATTGCCCTCTTAACTAACCCTTAAAAAAAAAACCAAATCCAAGGCAGCTGAGAAAAACTAGATGATAACACCAGACATCAACAAATTTCTATGGCCCCTAGAAAAGAAAAACATTTATAATGTGCACTACTTAAACAGAGGCAGGGCAAAAAAAAAAAAAAAAGTGCTTTGTGTAAGAATAGTTTTTTGTCTTTTCCCTCAAAATGAGTCTCCATAGCTACCAGACAGCTAAACCACACGATAACCAAGGAAATCTGTGCAACACCTATTTAGGCTACAGGAAAAGAAAGCTCTGTCGCTGACTTCAGTGGAGGCAGAAGTAAATCTGACAGAAATATAAATAACTCCTTGCTTGTTAAGCCAACTAGGAGAACAAGATGAAAACAATGTTGCACACATGCCAATTAGACATAAATACCTAATTGTGTTATTGCAACAATAAAGAACAGAGAAAAACGTAAGCATGTGTTATCTAAACCGCTTCTTAAGGATTGACATAATGAAACATCAAGATCTTTAGCAGTAACACAATCACAATTATCATCCCTTTGAGTGTTTAAAAAGATTTCATTAGAATAAAAGCAAGAGATTAAAAACAGTTTCTGTCCCAATTGTGTATCTAAGTCCCTTATCTTATTTAGGCAGCTATATTACTTTAATGTAATGCTAATACTTGCTATATATTTTTGGTTACTACCTGTTAATTAAATCACAAGAGATTAAATTAGCTGATTGTCATGGAAACTTAGCACATTAAATAAACTGTCCTTGACAAAATGGGGTAGGTTGAGATGAAGCAATTTACTAAATATGAAAAAACAATATAAAATATGTTAACATGCAAATACCGCCACATCTTAACTATTATTCTTATTAATAATCTATTAGTGGATACTGCTTAGAGTCTTTTTATATATTTCATAGAATCATAGAATGGTTTCGGTTGGAAGGAACCTTAAAGATCATCTAGTTCCAACCTCGCTGCCATGGCAGGGACCCCTTCCACTAGATGAGGTTGCTCAAAGCCTCATCCAACCTGGCCTCGAACACTGACAGCGTTGGAGCATACACAACTGCTCTGGGCAACATGCTTCACCATCTTCAGAGTGAAGAATTTCTTCCTTAGATCTAAGACAAATCTACCCTCTTTTCGTTTTTAAGCCATTGCCCCTTGTCCTATCACTACATGCCCTTGTAAAATGTCCCTCTCCAGCTTTCTTGTAGGCTCCCTTTAGCTACTGGAAGGCTGCTAGAAGGTCTCCCCAGAGCCTTCTCTTCTCCAGGCTGAACAGCCCCAACTCTCTCAGTCTGTCTTCATAGGAGAGGTGCTTCAGCCCTCAGATCGTCTTCATGACCCTCCTCTGGACTTGCTCCAACAGCTCCATGTCCTTTTAATATTGGAGGCCCCGGAGCTGAATGCAGTATTCCAGGTGGGGTCTCATGAGAACAGAGTAGAGGGCAGAATCACCTCCTTCGACCTGCTGGCCACGCTTCTTTGGATGCAGCCCAGGACACAGTTGGCTTTCTGGGCTGCAAGCGCACATCGGTGGCTCATGTTGAGATTCTCATCAGCCAACACCCCTAAGTCCTTCTCCTCAGGTCTACTGTCAGTCTATTCTCTGCCCAGTCTGTATTTGTGCTTGGGATTGCCCCAACCCATGTGCAGGACCTTGCACTTGGCCTTGTTGAACTTCATGAGGTTCTCACAGACCCACCTCTCCAGCCTGTCAAGGTCCCTCTGGATGGCATCCCTTCCCTGCAGTATGTCAACCACAGCGCATAGCCTGGTGTCATTGGCAAACTTGGTGAGGGGGCACCCAATCTCACTGTCCATGTTTCTGACAAAGATATTAAACAGTGCCGGTCCCAATACTGACCACTGAAGAAAGCCACTCATGACTGGTCTCCACTTGGACATCAAGCTATTGAGCACAACTCTTTGAGTGTGACCATCACCAAATTCATTATCCACCAAGTGGTCCATCTGTCAAATCCATGTCTCTCCAATTTAGAGGCAAGGATGTCATGTGGGACAGTGTTAAATGCTTTGCACAAGTCCAGGTAGATCATGTCAGTTGCTCTTCCTTATCTACCAATGCTGTAAACCCATCGTAGAAAGCTATCAGATTTTTCAGGCACAATCTGCCTTAGTGAAGCCGTGTTGGCTGTCACCAATCACCACCTTCTTTTCCACATGCCTCAGCATAGTTTCCAGGAGCATCTGCTCCATGATCTTGCCAGGCACAGAGGTGAGACTGACTGGCCTGTAGTTCCCTGGGTCTTCCTTTTTAAAAAAAAAATAATAAAATGGGGGCTATGTTTCCCCTTTTCCAGTTGGTGGGAACTTCACTGGACTGCCACAACTTCTCAAATATGACGGATAGTGGTAAAGCAACTTCATCCATCACTTCCCTCATGACCTACAGATGCATCTCATCAGGTCCCACGGACTTGTGCACTTTCAGGTTCCTCAGATGGTCTCAAACCTGATCTCGTACAGTGGGCGGTTCTTCATTCTCCCAGTCCCTGCCTTTGCCTTCTGTGACTTGGATGGTGCAGCTAGAGCACTTGCCAGTGAAGACTGAGGCAGAGAAGCCATTAAGTACCTCAGCCCTAATATATTTAACGGTAATCCTTTTTCTCTGGTCAGTGAGCAAGTATTATGACAAATATTGAATATTGACTAGAAGTGGTATACACAGCAATTTCTGAAACTTCTTCTCTAAGATACTTTGTTAAAGACCCTGGTTTTCAAGGGTTTATAGGATTTCCAAACAGTCTTTAATACAAGGCATTTGTACAAAGTCATGTTTTGAGTATGAGCTGCTTCACCTGTGCTCTCAGGCTTCAACAGAAAACAGTCTATTTTATTAATAAACATTAATTGTTCCATGCCAAATATGTGATGCCATGAAAGTACTGACTGGCTAGTCAATGACTGACTTGTTATGTGCAAGAATTGAAATAAGAGTAGTACTTTGAAATTTGAAATTTAAAAGATATTAAAGAACATTCCTATTTCAGGTGGAAGTGATCTATTGAAAATTCTATGGGTTTGGGTCCACTGAGTAAAGAAACTGGCAAAGTGTTTTTGCCTGACAGAGCTCTCTGCCCTTCAATATTGGATGCTCTGAGAAGAGTGCATCCACCTAGGGGACTGTCCGTACAGGGCGCGACAAGTAGGGATGCATCCCTGAGGTGTGCACACGCCTACCTCCTGGTGGGCTTTCTCACCAGCGTGTAGATTAGCAGATTCTAGGAAGCAGCATGTAAAGCTTAGAGTATCCCAGCTTGTATCTCCAATAGGAGTTGCATGCAAGTAGATGAACCTGCACTCTCAAAAGAGAAGTGTGCTTGTAACCCAGAATGCCAGGAGGATGCCCATAATTGCACATGTATATCTCTGTGTGTATGAATAGAAATTCCTGATATTAGTTACAGAAAGGTGTTCAGAAATTTGTAGGTGTTTAATAACATTTTTTAAGTGTCTAGGACAGTGGTTTATCTGTTGTATTGCTGATACTGATCCTAAATCACAGAATCATAGAATCACAGAGTGGTTAGGGTTGGAAGGGACCTCAAAGATCATCTAGTTCCAACCCCCCTGCCATGGGCAGGGACACTCTCCAATACACCAGGTTGCTCAACACCTCATCCAACCTGGCCTTGAACACCTCCAGGGATGGGGCATACGCAACTTCTCTGGGCAATCTGTTCCACTGCCTCACCACCCTCAAAGTGAAAAATTTTTTCCTTGTATCTAATCTAAATCTACCCTCTTTCAGTTTAAATCCATTGCCCCTTGTCCTGTCACTACATACCCTTGTAAAAAGTCCCTCTCCAGCTTTCCTGTAGGCCCCCTTTAAGTACTTGTAGACTGCTATAAGATCACCCCGGAGCCCTCTCTTCTCCAGGCTGAACAACCCCAACTCTCTCAGCCTGTCTTCATAGGAGACGTGCTCCAGCCCTCAGATCATCATCTCCTCTGGACTCACTCCAGCAGCTCCATGTCCTTCTTGTGTTGGCGTCTCCAGAGCTGAATGCAGTATTCCAGGTGGGGTGTCATGAGAGCAGAGTAGAGGGACAGAATCACCTCCCTTGACCTGCTGGCCACGCTTCTTTGGATGCAGCCCAGGATATGGTTGGCTTTCTGAGCTGCCAGCGCACATTGCTGGCTCATGTTGAGCTTCTCATCCACCAGCACTCCCAAGTCCTTTTCCTCCGTGCTGCTCTCAATCCATTCTCCGCCCAGTCTGTACTTGTGCTTGGGATTGCCCCAACTCATGTGCAGGACCTTGCACTTGGCCTTGTTGAACTTCATGAGGTTCTCGCAGGCCCACCTCTCCTGCCTGTCGAGGTCCCTCTGGATGGCATCTCTTCCCTCCAGCGTGTCCACAACACCACACAGCTTGGTGTCACCTGCAAACTTGCGGAGGGTTCACTTGATCCCACTGTCCGTGTCACCAGTAAAGACGTGAAATAGCACTGGTCCCAGTACTGACCCCTGAGGAACACCACTCATCACTGGTTTCCACTTGGACTTTGAACCGTTGACCACAACTCTTTGAGTGCGAGCAACCATCCAGCCAATTCCTTATCCACCGAGTGGTCCATCCGTCAAATCCATGTCTCTCCAGTTTAGAGACAAGGATATTGTGTGGGACAGTATCAAATGTTTGCATATTAAGTACGTGACAGCAATAATCCAAGCAAGTGCTCTGATCCTGATGTGCTTTAAACTACATGAACTGTGATACAAGTAAACATAAGCAATTGTGCTTTCACAGTGAAATGGACTAACAAGAAGATATTAAGGCTGAAACTACATTGAATACTTACATGTTTGTGGGTATTGTGATAAGATTCAATTTGTAATTCAAAAACAGGCTAGCAATCTCAACATATTCTTCAGGTTTTGTTACCACAGGCTCTAGAAAAAAAAAAAAAAAACTTGTTAAATATAAAAATATTTTACACTATAATTTTGACAAATAATTTCCATAGGGGACTCATCACCCCTAAATAATTCTATTTCCAAGTATCATCACATACACTTGAATGGAAGAGAACAGCCAGAGGTGGCTTTAGGTGACATGTCATGAAAAAAATAAGTGCTTAACAGTCTGATCCTCAGACTGCAAAGTATTAAAGTGTGCTTAACCTGTATGTAAGGTTACCCACAGTAGCTCAGAACAACTATGGCAGCGTGTTCTGCCTTTGCTAATTTCCTGTTTCTGATCTCAGTATATTTTGCTAGAATTCCTGTAATGCTTTTATATTCAAGATATGCATTTAACTCCATTATGCAGTATAGACAAACCCTAGAATGAGTTTACACCTAAAAATATGAGTTGCTGCAGCAGGACTAGTCACATACTTCAATATCTTACGGCTCTGCCTCAGAGAGCTTCTGCATTGCTTTGATAACACTCTCTCTTCATTCTCTCCAGTAGAGTAGGGCACTTTTTAGAGATAAATTAAGACACTTCTCAAAGCGTTTAAGAAATCATATGTCTAAGGAGAAGTAATGCAAAATTAGAAAAAAAAAAACAAAACAGACAGAAAGAGTAATCTTTAGGGAAGTTCTGAAATTAAGCTAATGGATGATAACTATGGCTCTGATAACATTTATAATAATTAAACTGTAATCACAAATTTATTTTGAAAGTTTGAGTATACGAACCTTGAGGTTCAGATGTTGCAACAGTTTCCTTTTTCTGACGGAAAAGCTTCCAACAAGGAACTAGTGGGGATTGTGGAGGTGCTACCAGAGGACAGGACCTAGTTCTAGTAATCAGGACAGGATGGCTATATATGTGGGAAAGTCCATATTGCCTCAGCTTCTCTGAGGAATCAGCCTGTTAAACATGGAAAGATAGTTTGACTGGGATCAGCTCTCATTTCTCATCACCTCTCAAAAGAGAACAGTATGCACACAAAAGCATCTAACGGCTTGGATAACAAACAAACCAAAAATCATTCACCTGACAAGGCTATTCAAAACCATTCGTATCAGGATTTAATATTCCGCAGAAAAAGTATAATTGAATGCTTAGATGTGTTTACACATATTTCACTTTTCCGAATAGATTCATCACTTCTTTCAATTTATTTATATAACCATATTCTTTTAGGTGCTACAGAAAACATTCAAGTGAAGCAAAATGAAAATATAAGAAAACAGCGGTGACAAGATTTTGTTTTAAATAAATATAACTAAAAATACTTTTTCTGAGGAAAAAATCCTTACTTCATGCTGAATTTATAAAGTAGCAGAATTCTAATAGCAACTAGTCTTTTAGATAACTTGTGAAATCTCCATAGTGTAATATCACTTTGAACCAATACATCATTAAAGTTAAGCTTTTTATCTGCTGGCTAATTTAGAAAACACATTAAAGGCACTACAGTCGACCCATATATCAAAGACTTAAGAACAATTTTAGATGTGGACATTGAGTGGTGCTCTTCTCATTAAAATAATAACGGTCCAGTACTTAACATTTTTCACTACTGAAAGTTCTGTTACAGGATTTGTACATCTTTTTTATTTCAAAAAGACACCTTCTTTTGCTTGCTAAATAAATCACCCATAACTTATTTCCTAACACGTTCATCAGGAGGTCTCTGCTCCTGCTCATTGTCAAATGTTCCTGAGGTCCTATCATTACAAACTGCAGAAAAGAATGTAGTTGTGGTTATTTCAACGGAGAAGATCAAGTTAAACACATTAAGGTACAGAAGCAATATATCAGCCTCGTTTGATCTCTGAATTTAAAAAGATACAGAGTGGTGTTTGGTTACACATTTATTTAAACAACTTTAAAAAGCAAGTTAAAACCTCCAAGATTATAAAGGATTTTAAAGACAATCAGTTAGGTGCCATAAAGGAGAACTTGTCAGCGGCTGAGTAGGAAACACTTGAATGACTCAACTATTGACTTTTTTCATCTTATTTGAACAAACTTCAGATAATTAAATTCATGCCACATCAATCCAATTACATACACCCTAGAAAGCACAGTTAAAGGGATGCTGCAAAAATTCTGGAGGGAAATTCTGGCACAAGTGCAGTCAATGACAACATTTCCTCCAAATTTAGAGAGTAACTCTTATCCCAAACAATGAATCCATCTTCCAAACTTTAATTATTTCTATCAGTGTAGTAGCACTCAGCTCCCAAAGAAAGCTGGAAAACAGGCTTTTTTAAACTGAGGCCCACAAGAAATCCACTACACTTCTATATTTAATTTCTGTCAACTTCCATTTTTCTGTCAATTTTTACTAAAATACTGTTTTAGACATATAGATTCATCTGCCTCATCCTATTTGGCTTGCCATGCCTCTTTTTCAGTAGTCTCTGTACCCTAACAGACTGAAGCCAAGTTTGAGACTCAAGGCCTTAGGTGACAGGAAAGACATAACCCTATGTCACCATTTCCAGTTTGCTTTTTGATGACTAGTATTACTTATTATTAGCAAAGAGACAGTACTATCTGAGACCTTAAATTAATATAAATGAAAATAAAATCACAGAAAACAAGCTAGTCTTCAAACCAGCATAATATATATAGCACAATTTTTAAAAAGAAAATAGTTCAAGAATTAAGAGCAGTAAAGCATTACACCTGGAAACCATTTCTGGAAGTTTCTTTATTTTATGAAGCCTATTAGTTTTATGAGAAGGTAACTTAAATTTTAATGTTCTAATTACGATAAATATGATTTAAATGTACAAAAAATTAAATCTCATTAACAATCAACTGAGGAAAGCCTGCTCTGGCATTATAAATAGCTTTCTGTAGAGTGTGAGTGACTAAGGGGAAAGTTAAGCATTGTTTTTACCCCAGCTGCATGAAGTGTAATACTCTCTCCATCTGCTTTCACCAGTCACAACACTAAAGACAAAAATGGATATAAACATGGTATTTCTCATAGAACAACATATTGGAAAATGTATATCAGAGAAGTCATTAATTGCAGTCTGAAAAAAAATCGAAATTCATGTTTTTCAAGTAGCCCTCGAAATAATTAGGCTTTTCATTCAGAAGTATCTCATCATGATGCATTTTCTAGCCCACATCTAGCTTCTCCCAGGAGATTTCAGCTTCTGGGATCTAGAGGAAAGTGGAGTAAAACTGAGAAAATGAGCAAGGCTGTGACAGGAAAATGAATGACCAGAAGTACTGAAATATAAATTTAACTGATAGTCATTACCCGGTGACTGTTTCACTATACTAATTTTATTATTTTTGTTACAACGTAGTTGCTACAGAATGAAACACCCTGATAATAAAATATGTAATGCTTTCTTGTCCTGGGAGCATAGAATCTTACCATCCGCCCTAATGAAAAAATATCCTCTTCAAACAAATGTAGTGGTATACAGCCAGCATACACGACCATTTCTGGCTGGGTTGCCACAGAAGATTCTACAGAGAAAACATTAACATGCTTTAGAATAGTGTAAACAGTAAATAAATGTTTTTGTACCTCACTCTAAATTATTATGCTTTCTCTGCCTTAGTTTTATTATTCTTTTCTTTGTCTGATCGTTATTTCATTCAAAAAAAGAGCTCATTGTAAAATACTCAGAAGAGAAGCCATGGATGGAAAAAAAACAAACACCATATTGGTTTAATCCTTGCATATTTAGAACATCAACAAGTTTTGCGTATTTTACTTCTTTTACACAAACAAATAACAGAAACTACAACTTAGAAATGCAACAGCACTCGCCATTGTTCTTTTATTTTAACTCGAATTTTAAAAATACTAGATCCTAGCATGAAGAACACAATACACATCATCTGGGTAGATGAAGTGAAAACGTACTGATCGGTCAGTACTAGCTAAAGGCTTCTCATTAGTGAAAGTAAAATTTGATTTTGCCAGCAAAAGGATCAAAAACCAGAGCTCTGGCCACTCCTGCCAAGGAATATAATGATTGAGACAAGTAGTTTGAGAAACAGAATGCTTGTAAAACAGGGTTACTACTCTTACTTCTGTCAAGGAGATAGAGAAAGGAGGTAATGACGGCTGCTTCACAAAGTGTGAGGGGGCGATCCCATAGCTCTTATCCCACACACCTTACAGAAGCTTGTTGTCCTGTAATTCTGCCACAAGCAAGGCATAAAAGCAGGGCCACGTTTTCTTTGTTACCCCTAGAAATCTGTTGCACTAGGCAACCATGTGATAATCTCATATCTGTATCTGTGAAAGAAGCCATTGTTAATTCCTGAATGATGAAGAGAAACGAAGGCTGTCTGGCTTTCACACATGCTGAAAGGAAATTAAGAGTCTAAAAAACATAATACTAGAAATGTAGGTCTGTGGTTTGACCTAAAGGTCAGCTCAAAAAGAAGGATACCTGTTTCTCTCTATTTTCCCTTAGTCATCTTAGAAAGCATGTGAAGACAGGATTTCAGTATACAGGTTATGATACCTGTTTTTTCATCAGAATATTTTGTCTTTGTTTCCTTCAGCTCCACCTCAAATATAGGATAATTGCTTCCTATGTTTTGTGAGTATTCAACTGGAAGTTGCTATAAGAATAGGTATTTTCTGTGAGATGGAGTAAAACAATGCTGTTTGCCTACAAAGAAAAAAGGGGAAGGGAAAAGGGAAAAGGGAAAAGGGAAAGGGAAAGGGAAAGGGAAAGGGAAAGGGAAAGGGAAAGGGAAGATAGGCAAGTGGCTAGAAAATACAATTTATCAGACTTAAAATCTGCTCATTTAGAAGGACATTTTTTTCTTAAATCAGTAAGATATCTCTGCATCTTAAATATTCTTCCAGAAACTCAATTACTCAATTAAATACAAGCTAATAGTAAGTCAGAGTCACTTTTCAGTGCATTCTTAATGTTTCTCACTACATGCTTGTGATTCCTGTGTTAACCATAGCTTTTGTGTTAGCTATGGGTTTCAACTTATTTAAAAGCAAAGCTATAATCTAGGTTTGATCTCAGTCCCTACTGACATATATGATCCATTAAAAATACAGCAGTAGTAGCTGTGATGTACTGCTATACATTACAGAAGAGCGCATGCCACAAGGCACACTGATCTCATTGCATGTGAGAAGTATTTCTCAAATAAAAGTATTTAATCAAACACCAGGTGGAATGTAAAGCTGTCGTGCTCAGTCCAGATGGGTTGTGAAACAAAATGTCTGCAGGGCAGGCAATAAACAGTAATGAACAAATTATTAGAGCATATAAATTATTAACCAGGCACATCATATTCACTTTAATATTACTATTACAATAGTAGAAAGGCTTTGTACAGCATGCCAGTACTTTTTAAAAATAATAAATTATTTTATCATTAAATTATTTTATCATTTTTAACTGTACAAAAAATGAGGAGGATGTGTGCAAATTTTTTGCATCCAAGTGTACTGTTGATTAGCTTGAATTCAGCATCTCAGGAAACCAGTTAAACCAATATCCTTGACACAATTGTATTATTAAATGAAAAATGTTAACAACATATGTACAACAAAACAGTTAGATTCAGCAAAACCTATTATTTATATCCATCAGTGTGGATTTAAGAATTCTGTGGTGCTTTGTTAAAGATTTCTGAATCCTTGTAGCTGCTTATGTTTCATATTTGTGGCCTTGCAAATCTGTCTACAGAGAGTGAGTACTACAATCTGAATGAATGCTTCAGTCCTCAGAAAAATGGAAAGTATCATTTGAATTGATCCACGTAATATACATATATATATATATCTCCAGCCACCTCGAAACAAAGGCCAAGAATGAAAATTGTTGGTTTTGATAGTTCTTAACCATTTTTATTTTTCAAAAAAGTATAAGTTTGGAAGACTTGCAAAAAATTTTTCTCACTATATCTTAAGGTTTCTCTTTAAGTATTTATTTGTCAAACAAGATGATGCTGAGTTTTAGCTTTCCAAAACACTTCAGTTGGCTTTCAATACCCTTCCTATAAGGTGTGCAGATCATATTTTAATCTCTGCTGTTGTGCTAGGCATAGATTAGCTTTGCCTATTGGAGACTATTTTTTTAGTCTTCAGAAAAATGACCTATGTGCTTTCCAGAATTGACATAAATATTGCAGAATGATAATATGAATTTGAAAAAGCAGAAAAAAAAATAAAAGGCTCTGGTCCCTATCTATAAATGAAAACTTTTGAATAGGCAAAAAGAAAATGAAAACTTTACAGTTATGTCTTATGTATCTCATTGACTCTGATGGTTAACATTATAGATCTACTTTTATGTTTAAAAAATTCTGAAGTTATACTTATTATCTCCCAACACTTCTGTGACATAGAAAATATTATTATCTCTAATTACAAAACTAGTATCAAGGCACAATGAGACTTAGCAAAAATAAATGGCTGGTTTGTTGAACAAACTCACGAATTCCTGGCTAGTGCCCTATCCAGAGGAATAATATTCTCCCTCCAGCAGTTCAGAAATTATTAGCAAAACCATTACTCTAGAAACAGAAATGGCAAGCGGAGCGGTGGCTCTTTATAGGAACAAGAGGCCTAAGCAGCTATATCATATCATCATAATAACTCTTTATGGAATGAATGGACTCCCTAGCTACGAAAGAAGAAATAATTACTAGAAGAAAAACCTTATGAGTGGCAAAGTGCAGATTGTGTGCTAAAATGGGCCAGCAGGAACATACAAATTATCTACAAAAACTTCCCAAGGACTGGTGGGCTGATAAGACACAGGACCAAAGACCTGGTTGTTCTCAGGAAGAGCCCTGGCTGATCAAGTGAAGGGCTTGTTATTCTGTTGGATCTACACAGTAGGATGAACAGAGAAACCGGTTCAAGGCTTCAAGGATCCTGCAACTCATATTGCATTGGGGGGTGCAACAGGCATTGGCAGCTAATCTTCAGAGCAGCTCGTACAGTGCTGCATTTTAGATACGTGACCAAAATGGCGTTGATCATGTCTCAGCTATTGCTGAGCAAAGCTCACATAGCATCAGATCCTCCTGTTTCTCACTCTGCTGCCCCAGTGAGTAGGCTGGGGTTGGGCAAGAGGTTCAGTCCTTCTGATTCTCTTCCCTGTCTCACTGGTGGGTAGTGAACGAGTGACTGGGTGGAGGGACTTAGCTTAACTAAGAAGTTTCTGAATACAGAAGTAACTGGTATGTCAATATGTATGAAACTAAACAAGGTAGTGAATATACGAGGTAATGAAAACAAAAAGTTTTGCCATTTTAGAAGTAAAATATAAATTATATCAAAAGCAGTTAAATACCTCTTCAGAAATAATTCATATTTATCACAGAAAGAAAAATGATTCCCTTTAAGTCCTCACACTCAATAGGTAGAATGAGAACTTGCAGTAGGGAAACAAATGCTTCTATGGCACTGGAAATTAAATGCTTTTCAAGCCACCTACATTGAAAAAACAAAAAAGCTGTTGCATTAAGTAAAGTCACTGTCACAAAATTCCCAAGAACAATTCAGAAACTTTTTACAACTAGTGCCTCTGGAATCTGACTTTGAATCAAACCCTACTTTTAAATGTTACTTTATGCACAAAACTGTTTCTACTGTCCCAGGTCACTTTGAAGAGCACCTGTCTCACAAAGCCTGCAAACTTTTCCTCTTGTGGCTACAATCTCACAGCAAAAATTCATTTTAATTCAGTATTACTTCAGTTTGCAGTTTTCCTTTTATTTTTTTTTTCTTTGAAGTCTAATAATCTTAAATTTGCTCCATATTTTACAGCCTCTGACTTTACCATCTCCACATTTACTTCTATTCAAACTCTTACCAAGTTTATTAGTGAGATATCTACCTCTTACTCTCTTTCAAATCTCTTTTCTGGTTCAGACCTAGGACAAGAGACTTCTCTGACAACTGTATTTGAGCCCTGAACTAATAATCTTTCTAATTAACCTCTTCACAGGCCACTATCTGTCTTTCAGAAAACAGCATAAACTCTGCTTTAAATGGGAGAAAAAGACCAAAATGTCATGTGGTTCTTCATACAGAAACACTGCCTGATGATTTTTAATGCTCTTTCACTCATTTTGCACAACAACTAGAATTCATCACTTAGATCCTTCTGCTTCTCCTTTGCTTTCTTTTCCCCACAAAGTGCTTGCATACTGAGCACATTCCTTATATTCATGTGAAATGCCTCATTGCCCCTTCCACAACTACTGCCACTGAAGCAAACCATGTTCCTGTAATATATTTTAGAATTTTCTGTTTAACTCTTTTAGTAGTATCTAAGGTAGGAATTCAAACGAATATATTTGCTGATGACAAACAGCAATATTGGTTTGATAGAAATTTTATTTAAACCATCAATTTTAACCAGGATTTAAATCAAGAAGCAGGAATCCAATTTACATAGTGAGTTTTGTCCTTGTTATACATTTTTACTTTGCAGTTATTTTCCCAAAGAAAGATGCTGTACCTATTCTTACCTGTTGATTTGCAACTAGATAGCTAGTCCTATGGAAATGTTGAATGTGTGGAAATATAAGCAACGAGAAAAGCAAATGACCTTAATGTACACTTAAGACTTTCTATACTTCATGCTAGTAAACATAACATTTCCCATTGACTGATTAGTTGAACAATTAGCATTTACTTATGCTTTGTTTAAATTGTATTTTAGTGTTTTTAAAAAAAAATGCAGAAAGTAAGAATTAAGCTATCATGAACATATCATTATAAAAAAATATATTCATCAAAATATATTTCCAGGATAAAGCAATCAAATTTATTAAAACATTAAAGTTTAATTTTTAAGCTATCATGAACATATCAATATAAAAATATATTCATCAAAATATATTTCCAGGATAAAGCAATCAAATTTATTAAAACATTAAATTGTGGAGTGAATTCTAATGAGTATTTCTGGCCACTCTCACCCCCTGCCCTTTAACAAAGAAGTATTCCTGCTTTTTCCAATCACAATTTACTGAATAAAGTAGATATTGAACAAATAAGTTATTAGAGAGGAAGCTTTTTATAAAAAAAAAAAAATACAGAAAGACAGATTACCACTAGAACAAAACTTAGCCCCACAGGAGTGGTCAGCAACTTCTAAATATTCTGCATAGCTTTACTTCATATTTTGATATTAAACACAAATTACAGCAATACTATTCTTAATATAAATTATAGGATTTTAATAGGTTATAGTGACTTTAATCTGTATTGCAGCCTCTAAAAATATTGCAATTTTTTAACAAATTAGTGTGTTTCGCCTCTCCTCAATTAAATTCAAAAACAAATAAAAGCAAAGCCCTTTGCTTTACATGTGTCTCCTATTTCTATTTTTAGCTTCAAAAGAATAGGACTTACTTTCAGTTAAGGCCTGAAGACAATATTGGGCTTCTGCCAACATTTGTGAAGACTGAACTGGTAGCTTGTTTTTCTCTTTTTCTCCTTCTCTGCTTTTCTTTCCGATTTCTCTCTGCCCTGCTTTTTCTATTAAGCAAAATAAAGATTAAATATTTTTCTTTTCAGACACAAACTTTCAGTCATAAAGTCTCATACTGAGTAAATGCCTTAAAGATGATTTGCAGTTAGAAGAGTTGAGACACAATAAAGAACTAACGTCGTTCAGATTTACTGAGAAGGGGCTAGGAAGGCTCAGTCCCACCTTCCAATTATTGCGCGGCTCTCATGTACCTACTGTAGTGTTTGGAATTCCTGAATTCCTGGCACTGCGTCAAATACTTTCTTCATGTCCCTGCTCCCATGCATCAGTAATTTCCAAAATAATCTAATATAGATGAGACATAGCTTTCCAAAGGACATGGAAGAAGAAAGTCTCCCACAGTCAGAAACTTCTTTTAAGGTTCAGAACTTTGACTACAGGAAATTCTGTACACTTCAAATTAAAAAAATCCTAATCATTAATAGAGCATCAGAACACAGCTTGTAGCTGTACAGAGCTTATCATAACATAACACTTCCCTGATTGTTAGCTATTTCAGATACTAATAGCATTTCTAAGTCTTAGGCAGATTTAAATTTCAAAGTTTTCTGGGAATAAATTACAGCACCCTGTTGGATGAATGACAGTACTCTTCCCAATGGCTACATCCCTGTGCATGTCCCTTCCAAACTCTGAAATATCTACTATGCTGGTGGATGAGTCATAAAGTGATAGCAAGAATTCCTAAGAAAAGATAATATCCCCTCAGCCAGGTGTCTTCTAATATTTTTACACTACTTTTGACATTAGGACTAAATATTTGGGATTCAAAGAGGGGAAGGCAGAGATTTTTTTCTAAATCTAGGGAGAAATAGAAATTTTAGTATATGATGTGTACCTTCAAAAGACATTAGAAGTGTTGTGAAATTGTATCCATGCCTTGAAGCTAAAAACGGCAACTCAACCTCAAACATAAACATTGAAGAATAATATACTGGAACAAATAAGTTTCTACATCTAAGGGTTTTTTTATTTAAATGTAAATAGGATTAGTAGCTCTTGAAGAAAATTAATACCTATACCTAGTAGCTTAAACAGAAAATTTGCTATAAATAAAAATGCAGGTAGACATTAGAACATACTTGTAAGAACTCTCTGTAGGTAATCATGCTTTGTAACATCCATTGTGAAATGGATAATTTATTGATGGTCAGAGTAGTGTTTCCTTTGGGGAAACTGTAACCTCTCTGATTGTTATCCCTCTGCAAAGAATCAGTCTTTGTAGAAGACAGAGCTGAAAAAATCTGTCATAAAATGAAGCTGTTTTCATAAAATAAGAGTACTGCTCTAATGAGGTCTATAGTTCAAAGTTTTTTGAATTTACACCATTGCAACATGTCCAGTGAAACAACAAAGCCATAGAGTTCCATGTGGGATAATAATACCTTTGCTAATTTTATCAGCTTTCTCAGGTTTATCAGACAGCTTATTCACAGATGAAACTTCATTTTTTAACTCTGAGACTTTGGTCTCTCTAGGTTTTGTATCTGACTGAGGAATACCAAGTTCTGGAGTTTTCTTATTTGGCAACTTGAATTCTGGCACAATCGCTTTCAGAAAGCCCCAGACTTTGTCCAAGTATCCAGGCCTTTAAAAACAAACACATGTATATGTCAACGATAATGATATTTGCAGTAAGAAAAGAAAGCGTGATTTTAATTTAGACAACACTATACTACAACTGACAGTCCACCTCTTAGAAAAGTTACTAGGTTATTTTAGTAAATAAAATACACTTACCTGATTTCGCATATCGGTCGATTTGTTAAGAAACAGATTATAAAGAGATGGAGGTGAGAGAAGCACAAAAATAAAGAATCCTTTCTAAAGCTTTTTAGTCGATAAAAGTTGCAGTGGGGAAATTCACAGACCACTTTGCACTACACCATATAATAATTTGATTCTGGCTCTGTACAACAAAAACCTTCTCAAAAGTAATCCCAGACTATGCTTTCCTAACTGTTTCAGCACAGGTAGTTCCATGCTTCTTCCACCACCAGCTACCACAGCTTTTCGATATGACATGACAGTTGCAGACATACTGGTTGTCCATAGAAAGTCAGTGATTCTAGAAATAATTTAAAACTGAATGAATAGTTCAGGGCTATGAATAAGTTTCATGCAAGCTAACTTCATGCAACCTTTTATAAAAAAAAAATATGAATTGATTGTACAAGAGCTAAAGTCATATTATGCTACTATTGCAAAGACTGTGATATTCACATTTTCTTATCCCAGAATATAATATATTTGCAGTAAGTGCCAGATTCATGAATACTACTTTTTTTGCTGTTGCAATTGTAAAATGAACTATATGAAGAAACAAAATTTAGGCTACTTAGAAATCTAAGTCCATGGGCTACATACACACTACTGTAAGACACAAACACATCAAAATCTTAAATTGCAAGCACAGCTTGAGATATAAAAATTACTGAAATAAGGGCTAAAATAGCCCTTGACTGAACTTATTTAATGTTGAAATATCATTATAAATAAACAATTATATCTAAATAAATTACATACAAATCAAAACTATTTGTTATCTATGTATTCATTAGAATGCAAACCCCTGTAATTTAAAACAAATACCTAGATATTTAAAACCTGTATCTCAGTCATTCTTTCAGTAAAAAGAATGTCAATCTGGAAAAATAGAATGTGTGTTCTTTAAAACGAAATGGACTTAAACATAGAGGAAACAAGAAAAAAACTTTATTATATGTAGGAAATAGTTTTTTTGGTTGGAAATAAAAGTGTATCAGCTGTTCCAATTTAAAAGGTGAAAACATCATAATAGCTAAAGTTGATTACGTCCAAATTCACGATGTACACATTCAGATATAAAGTTATTACTACTACTTGCAGACATTTTGAATTTGTATGCTGGACCAAACATAGATTTCTCTAACCCTGTTTTCACCACAGTGTTTAATATTTAATTAAAATAAATTAATTTTATAAAGAATAGGCATCAGCTTAACATGATAAACAGCTCTACAAACAACTGTATGACCTACAAAGAAAAACACACTAAAATTGCATTCCTTGAAGGCGCATTTCTCAAGTGTCAGAAGTAAAAAACGTACACTTCCCAAAATTGATGCTGAAGGATTTGAGGGCTCAGCTTTATTTTTCATATTGCCTTATAGAATTAAAAATCAACAACTAATATGTACATTTTTTAATAGACGAACTTACTTGAGAGGAATAACTTCTGGTATCCATCCAGTCAGTGTATGTAGAACTGTAAATTCCTCCAGCTCTCTTTTTCCAGTTTCATGTATACTGTAAGACAAAAACAGATGTTATACAGAATTGTAATATAACCAAATCACAGCAAACTCTGTAGTCTACATTGCTTTCTGTAGGAGCAAGACTATACACAAACAGAATAGCTCGCTGAAAAACAAGTTGTTACATGCCGTTTTAGGAGTTTCCTGATCCACTGCTAACTACTAGCCTACAAAGTCAAATTTGCTTTTATGCCTTTTCATCAGGCCCATTATTTTACTGTTCCCTCTGGTACAATGGCATAGCCTCAACATCGTTACCAAGTATACTATGTATAGTCACACACAATAAAGCCTCTTTTTGCGGTGTTGGAGATACGGGTTTGAAATCCCTCACACTAGAAGGGGGATGTGAATCTAGAACTTCCATTTCCAGAGCAGCTGCTCTAACTCCCAGGTTATTACGCCCAAGTTGTCTGTATTTCCAGTGTACCACACTCCACTCTTTCAAACTGATACAGTCTCCTACTCTCTGGAGAGATTCCCAGCTATAGATCCTGAGAGGATGGAGGCCACCTTCTACTTTCCGGGTCAGTTTTAGGGAAATGGATCACCACACAGCCCACAACAGCAGAACTGTACCAAAATCATCAAAAGTAGCTTACAATACTCTATTTTCAATACTGGTTAAGGCTGCTAATTAAAACTTTATCAAAACTTTTTGGACACTTCCGTTTGGCAGAAAACCACATCAAGACTTTTAAGAGTAATGGCAAACAGATACAGAAAACAGGTACAGTACTCTAGTTTCTTTGCAAAGTTTTTTGTGCATAAATGTACACACACATAAAAAGGAAACACTACACCTTCTGCAGCTACAGGGGACTTTGCTTTACTGGTTTACTGTGTCACTTTTCAGAAAAGTGTCTATTTGCTATTATAAAATTTTTAGAAAAATATATTTCCCATTATACTAAAACAATTTTTTGCAATTTTCATGTGTAACTTCACAAAACAAATCGAGCTGACTAAACATACCTAGTATTTGCCAGCTTAATGATAGCTTTGGATAGCAACATTGACCAAAGTTCAGTTTGTTCGGTTGTTGCTGGCAGTAACAAATTATCCTCTTCATTGAAAGGCATAGTGTCATCCACAATAATCTTTCTCCAGCAGCCCTATGATAGAGGGAGGGGGAGGAAAGAAGAAAGAAAACACTGAGCTTGTGGGCTGGAAAAAGAAAATGTATGTAAGAGAACTTTTAATGCTTTCACAAGAACCAATTCTACTGTAATTTGATTTATATTGCAGATGGTTTTAAGAGAAGTTCTCATATAATATCTGTATTCACAGCATTTGATTACTGCTCTGACTTATTTATTTCAGAGATTAATCTAATTGCAGCTATTTCCAAATATATTTCTTCTCATATGTGCAGTCCATCATGTGCATGCATTCATTGCTGTTTCTTCAGCTGCCGTGACAGATGCCTGAGAAACAGTAATGATTAAAAAAAGGCTTAACTAATATATCAGTTTTGCAAATGCCTCTTTAAGGTTTTAGTCTGGAAAATACTTGCGATATAAGCAGTCCCCCTTGCTTCCAAAGAACTACCTGGGCATGTTGGCTGTGGCGGTTAGTGTCCTGGAAAGCATTTAAATTGTATCTTATAAAACAGTATAGGAAACAATACAAAATTAACAAATTTAACAAATATCCATATTTTCATGATAAGAAACAAACAGGTAAGACAAGATACTGATGCCTCCAATACCAGGTATTTCATTAGTAACTTGAGATAGTATCCCACAAAATAACCTTCCCTTCCAGTCTCCAAAAGAGTCTCTGTCCTAGTAATTGAGACATAAGAGAGAGGCAAAGGAATTAGCAAGGCAACAGCAAGTGCTTCTGTTAGCTCACACAAAAATGATGAACAGCGACCAAATTCCTAAAATGTTCACCATACATTATCAGAAAGGTCAAAATCACTGCTCTCTACTTGTAACTAAACTGTGGCTTCTAGCTGAAATGCCCGTTGATTATATGAGTTCTGTAAGTTTCAGAAGAAAACAAATTTAGGCCATATGGCAAAGATAGCCAAAAAGCATAAAACAGACTAATATTTTTTAGGATAAAAACTATTTCCTAACAGCCAAAAGTAAATTAAGATTTCACAAGTTTGAAAAGGACCTAGTAAGTGAAACGATCACGTATTCATCTCCTCTTTCAGTCACTACTGAAGGTTAACAGAGAGAGCAGTACAAGTTGAAAAGTAAAAGAAAAGACTGAGGTTTGGTTTTCTTTATCTCAGGACATTTTTTACTTCAGAGTAGTAATTCTGTGCATATAATTCTTAAAAGAAAATAGTATTTTTTGCATATGTAGCACCATTAAAAATATTATCTCCTCAACAATTGCTGGCCTCCTATACTTAATAAATAATAGAATCCATATGACAACTATTTTGCATCAGTGATAACCTTTTTTATAGCATTTCATTATTAACTCTAAAAACAATTATGCTAGTTTAAGGAGATAAGACACCAAGAGAAAGAAAGAAAAATATGTGAGGCAGAAGGATTATGGATAGAAAAAGAAATCTATAGGTGAGAAAAAGTGGAAATAAAGAAACAAATTCAATAAAGCCTCAGGAATACAAAGTGAAAGTAGGATGGATACAGGGTAGAACTGAAAGAAAATCGCATCAATTATGTGAAAAATTATTATCCACAGGTTTGATCTGATGGATAACAATCCCCTCAGGACTCAATACAGCATTTTACTGAAACCAGTTCATTATTCTTCCACTGTGCTTCCTCTCACTTTTAATTTGATTTTCCACTTTCTCCTGTGAAATCTGTTTCTACTATATCTCTACTGATATTTCTCTTTTCTCATTTGCACATTTCATAGAATAGAATCATAGAATGGTTAGGGCTGGAAGGGACCTTCAAAGGTCATCTAGTCCAACCCCCCTGCAAGGAACAGGGATATCTCCAACTAGATCAGGTTGCTCAGGTTGCTCATTTTCTTTAATCTTCCACTATTTGACTCTCTCTTTTTTTTTTTTTTTTTCTGTGAAATGCAGCTGTACAACAGAGGAAAACAAATGAAATAAACCCAAAGGCCCCAAAAAACCCAAAACCAAAATAAAAGTGACAAAGTAAAACACCCTGATTACTCTTATAGATGCTTTAAAATACTGTCTTTTATCACATGAGTATAACAACTCTGCAGCATTAAGTTCAAACACAGAATAATGTCCTCTGCTGAGGAACCTGGGCAATATCTTTTTTGCCTTCTCAAACTCATCGAACTCTTATTTCCTATACAAATATAAGTTATTGCCTATGTGGAGGCAGTATTAAGGGATGAGGAAAGATGAGCCATGTAAATCAGCAAAGTGCTCTCCCTTACAGGAAAGTCAAGAGATTCTTCCAGTTTTAACTGCTTTGCTATTTCTCCCTCAGTGCTGGCTAGCTGACATGTATCAACAGTAAACTGCATGAAACCTCCTTTTAAAATATCATATTTGATCTATATTGTATTAGAACTGTAAGTTTATCTTAATACAAATATGTGGTGTAGGATTATTTAAAAATAAAATTAATATGCTTAGGGTTTTATTCCCTCTCAAGAGACAAGTATCACACTGCAACTTGTATGAGTGCAGCTATTCAAAAACTCTCCCTGGCTTTGCATTTATGTTCATTCCAAAAGATGGAGGGATTTATAAACAATTTAACAGGGTGATAAAGGAGAAAAAGAAATCCCTCGTTACTTTCATTCACAGGAAGTCTTTCTACTATAACCACTAGAGCAATGGTTTCCAGCATAGAGATAGAACAAGAGCAATTGTCCAAGGGTCATGGAAGTGTTTGAGTAATTATTTTGTATCTGTAACTGTAGAAATGTAGAATCGTAGAATCATAGAATGGTTAGGGTTGGAAGGGACCTTAAGGATCATCTAGTTCCAACCCCCCTGCCATGGGCAGAGAAATCCTCCACTACACCAGGTTGCCCAAAGCCTCATCCAACCTGGCCTTGAACACCTGCAGGGATGGGGCATCCACAACTTCTTTGGGCAACCTGTTCCAGTGTCTCACCACCCTCAATGTAAAAAATTTCTTCCTTATATCTAACCTAAATCTCCCTTCTTTCAGTTTAAATCTATTGTCCCTGGTCCTGTCACTACACGCACTTGTAACAAGTCCCTCTCCAGCTTTCCTGTAGGCCCCCTTTAGGTACTGGAAAGCTGCTATAAGATCACCCCAGAGCCTTCTCTTCTCCAGGCTGAACAACCCCAACTCTCTCAGCCTGTCTTCATAGGAGACGTGCTCCAGCCCTCGAATCATCTTCGTGGCCCTCCTCTGGACTCGTTCCAGCAGCTCCATGTCCTTCTTATGTTGGGGACTCCAGAGCTGAATGCAGTATTCTAGGTGGGGTCTCACGAGAGCAGAGTAGAGGGGCAGAATCACCTCCCTCGACCTGCTGGCCACACTTCTTTTGATACAGCCCAGGACACGGTTGGCTTTCTGGGCTGCCAGTGCACATTGCCGGCTCATGTTGAGCTTCTCATCCACCAGCACTCCCAAGTCCTTTTCCTCAGGGCTGCTCTCAATCCATTCTCCGCCCAGCCTGTACTTGTGCATGTACTTATCTCACTTTATCTGTGATTATTTTGATTTTTAAAGATTGAGGTTTTTTACTACTATAAATAGAAAAACTTGAATATTGGTATATGCAGCAACCAAAATATTCCCTCCAGTGTGTCCACAACACCACACAACTTGGTGTCATCTGCAAACTTGCTGAGGGTGCACTCGATCCCACTGTCCATGTCTCCAACAAACAGAATATGTTAAATATGTTAAATAGCTATGT